CCAATTAAATTGAGAATTTTCTGGGATGTTTTATCAGGGTCTATCTCATCAGAAGGAACGCCATCTTCGTTTTCTGCCATTGCAGGCCTGCCTTTTGCATCTTTGCGTCGCATAGTTTTCTCAAATATCAAGGCTGATAGTTGAGCTCGCATTGGGACAGAGACTAGGCTCGTGCTTGTAATATCCTGCATGGCTGTTATATAATGTTAGATTGATGATAACAGAGACAGGCTTTGGTGATTGACACATACCTTCAACCCAAGAAGCTAAAATAGTGGCAATCCCAAAAGCCAGTATATAAATCCCTAGCTGCTTTCCAGTTTGGCCCGACTCCATTGCATTTAGTATCTTGAAGATTGCTAGTTGTGGGCCAATAGCAAGAAAAGCATGGATTAACCCGAGAATAATCTGTAGAATAAGTGACCATTTATACACCTTCAACAATCTCACCCACAATCGACCAGTGCCACTACTAGCCATCCATGCATGGCTGAGAGTCTTTGATCTTTTTGCGTGGTGCATTGTTGGTAATTCTTCCATATCTAAATTGTTCTGTTGCTTCGCGTTTTTGAGCAAATACTCTATTGACGAAAATGAGAATCGACTGAGGAATGAAACGTTGAATTCATTTAAAACCAGTCTTCCATGATAGAACACCTGCGGTCGTCGAGGTATCGATATACTCGCGGTCCCAACAGCAAACAGAGTAGTCATCTGGGCAATAAATAACGCAGTAGAAGTTGACCATGAGCTTCTCAGAGTTTCTTGGTCCTCAACAATGACCATACAAAGGAAAGCAAGGCAGGAAGCTGCGACGTATGTGCCTTGTGTGTAGCTCACAATAGTATCTTTCGTATAGCATACAGCGAACACTTGTATCGTCAACAAGAACTATCATAATTAGCATCACTGCTGCGAAATATTTTAGACCAAACACTCACCCATCCCACACTATTAGTTGCAACTTGCTTAAGGGGATAAGTAGTACGACCAAATTGGAGGGTTTTCAGAACAAATGTTAAGACGCCTAAGAAACTAAATATAGACAGGCATATCTTTGGAGCCTTGGAGTTGAAGCTGTTCTCACTGACGGTAGTTGTGCTTCCATCTTTATCGTCACCCCAGCTTGGAGTACCCTTTCGTCGGTATGGAGTACGTGAGATCGTGACAATCGATGGCAGTGTAAACCCTCCGATAGCAGCCAGTCCAATGACTTCTGCAACGATGCTTTGAAATTGCATCCTCACGGGATTATTTCAGAAATTTGCGACAAAAATCATACAAAGAAAGACACTTGAGAAAAGGTGCTGATAAGAGAAATTTTATAGTCACTTAGGATTGATAAGGAGCTGCGCGAATTTTGAGTAGGAAATACACGCTTCCCAGGGGTAGTGGTTGGTATCTCGCATAATTGCGATAGTGAATTATCGACGACTCATGCAGTCAGATGTGTGGCAAAACAGATGAAAGTGTTGATGATGATCAAAATATTTGCAGGATTAACCCAACCCTAAGCCTCTCAACCCCCCCTGAACTTTAGTACCCGCGATTCCGCAGGCCCACTGGTAGAAGCATTATGTTGGGTCTAGGCCTCATAGAGTTGCCGTTCAGTATCTCATTACTGTCGACATGACACGAGGGTGAATAAACGATTCCTACTGAAGCTCAGTGAATGTAGGGAGCATACACAAGCACGATGGTGAGCTGCCGAATTGGCGGTGGCCATGCCATGTAAGAGACGCAGTAGATGCACCAACTGACCCCACTATAGCTGTCAATTGGAAGCTTCCGCAGGGTTGACATAAAGATTGTGCGTGTCGCCCAATTCCTTCATTGACCCGCGTTTGTCGCGGGATACCATACAATCAACGTACAAGAAATCCTGTATCATCCTTGATCCATGGAGCGAATCAGTGATCAGAATGCACAGCTGCGAGATGCATAATGTATGTCAGCCGTTTTGGCGGTGCGCCGTGTATTTGATCGCATTTGATACATTTTCCCGGATGATTCATGCGGGGTTCAGTTTCCCACGCTGACTTCAATAGGATCAACAGATAGATAACTGTTGCTTCATGTAAATTGATTGCATTGTCACCATGATCTGTCTGCAGTCAGTGTGGGTGGTGTATTAATAGTTTATATCGCGAATACGCGCAAGATAATAGATACCAAGAGCTTAGCTTCTCATCGGCAAATGTTTATCCGTTATCATCTCCGCAGTATTTCCGCAATCCAATGAAAGCTTGAAGCTATCGGCCAACGTAAATCGTTCATCAACAACCTCACAAGCACCAAAGACTCTTGGTTGTCAGAAACCTCAATTTTTGAGGGAAGTTTTTGGTTACGATGTGGTACGTGTAGCATATCTCACTGCTCTCGTTCCCAATAAGATCATATATCTCAACTGCCGATGTAGCACTCATGTAGGTATTGCAGATGTGATAGCAACTGGTGCGGAGTCGAGTGGGGGAAGTGAAGTATATGTATTGTTCTCTTCTTCTACTTGTTGAATACTTCCCTCTTCATTGTAAGATACATCAGAATGGCGACCATTCATCATAACCCCCCTTTTCGCGCCGAACATTTGGGTTCCCTTCTACGCCCAACAGAGCTTCTCACCAAACGTAGTGCTTTCGAGAAGAATAATCTAAGCCAGGAAGAACTTACACAAATTGAGAATGAGTCTATCAAGCAGGTAGTAAAGCTACAAAAGGAGTGCGGATTTAGGGCCGTCAGTGACGGAGAATATCGGTTCGTTGTTTCGCACAATTTCATCAACTGTAAACTGTGGCACACATGCTTACTCAAATTGGATGGCAGACGCGCTGTATTCTGGGGAACGTTCTTCGAGGAGCTCGACGGTATGACCGAAATTCGCAACCCTTCTATGGATATCTTCCGTCCTTATGTTCCTGATATCGCTGGATTTATCGAAAAAGGACATAAGCCAGGTCAATCTTGCCTCTGCACCGGCAAAATAAAGCACACTGGAAAGTCGACACTCATTGGTCAATTCGAATACTTGAAAACTCTTATACCTGAAGAGAAATGGAGTGACATCAAACTGACGATGATTGCCCCACCGTGGTATCATCTCAGATATAAGGATGGAAAGGCTTTCCCCAAAGAAGTATATGCAAACGATGAGGAATATTTCTCGGATATTTCGAAAGCTGTTAGTGCAGAGTTGGACATCTTATACGAAGCTGGACTCAGAAATGTGCAGTTTGATGACCCAAATTTCGCATGTAAGTATTTTGACGCAATGCAAACATAAGCAAAAGCTAACAATGTAAAAGATTTTTGTTCCGAGAAAATGTTGAAGGGTTGGGAGGAAGACAAATCCAATACTAAAACTGCTGAAGAGTTGCTTGATGCCTATATTAAGTGTTACAACGACAGTATCGAGAAACATACCTCGAAAATGCATTTTGGTCTGCACATTTGCAGGGGTAACTTCATGGGATCACGTCACTTTTCCGAAGGAGGTTATGATCGTATTGCTACCAAGCTCTTTCAGAACCTGAATGTAGCAACATACTACCTTGAATATGATACACCACGGGCCGGAGGCTTTGAGCCATTGCTCTATCTCCCATCTCACAAGAACGTTATTCTTGGAGTCATCACTTCAAAGTTTCCAGAACTCGAAGACAAAGAGAAGATGAAGGCAAGAGTCATGGAAGCTGCCGATATTGTAGCAAAAGGAGCAGGGCAAACGAGAGAAGAAGTATTGAAGAGATTGGGCGTAAGCCCTCAATGTGGGTTTGCTAGTCACGAGGAGGGTAATTCATTGGGGTGGGAAGATATGAAGAACAAGTTACTTCTGGTCAGGAGTATTGCGGATGGTATCTGGCCTGGTGAAGCTTAAGCTGAAGGAAATGAAAAGTTGTACAGTCGCATATGATTGTAATTCATAATTGTTAGTACCAATAGTCTTCATGAACTTTTGATATCAATTCTTTCCAACATTAAATAGCGCTTTGTGACGCGCAATTATAAGAATGAAGCTAGTTAATCCGTTACCCATGTCGAATTTTGACCCCACTTTCCTCCTTCCTGAGACTTTGCACACACAGCCCTTCTTGACAAAATATCAAGATATACAGATATTAAATGCCCTCCTCCCATAAATGTCACAAACGGCCGGATGGTGTAGTTGGTTATCACGTGTCCTTAACACTTTACACCTGTTAAATACGGACAAGGTCCTGGGATCGTGCCCCAGTCTGGTCAATTCTTTTTGTTTTTGCTATATGTACTCCTCCTGTACAACAGTACCCAAAGTCCTTTCTTTGATAGATAGACGAGCGGCCTTTTTGCTTCACTTTTTGCTCTCAGAGAGTTTCATGAGAAAGACTTCGCAATGTGGGTATGGTATCTATAAGGTGGTGTGGGTCAAATAGTGAAGATTTTTTTTACAAATTGTGCCTAAGCGAATTGATGAAGGGGTTCAAGATTCTTGTCTTGAGCTGCTCTCTTTGATAGAAATTTTTGGGGGGTCGTGTTTATCTTATCGGGTCAAGAGATAATGATGGTTCTCTATCCATACACCTGGATTAACATGAATTAACACGTTAGAAGGTGTGCATGTTTCCAGATGCAACCCCGCATCCCCCCACCACATCCTTCAAAAGTAGAAAAAGTAAAGTCTCCGATGTGCTGCCGCTTTAATAATATCATCAGAGAGCAACGGTGAAGGAACTAACTAATTACTTATTGGTGTCTAGCCAAGATTACTACGCGTCTTCTGACGACTCTGAATATAAATGAAATGCTCTGATCTTTCTGCTTTCTCCATGTTATTGATGCACTTCGCATAGAGTTTAATCCTTTTGATCAAAGATTTTGTGATATCAATCTTCATTACTTTCGTTGCGCCGCCCTTGCGCCAGGTGAACGACTGTTCCATAAACGACGCGTTTCGATATCGACGTTGTCCCCAACGCATCTGTTTTCTACCATTGTGTTTCGTTGAAGTACACAAGCTATTTGCAATGGAATGCAAATCACAGTCGTTAGCCCTGTCTCCGGAACACCTCACTACGTTCTCTTGTTTTTCAGAACTTCCAACAGAGCTCCGTCTCAAAATTTGGCATCATTGCATACCCGCTCCTCGGGATCTACACATCAAATCCAAAAATTATCAAAGCATTACAGGGCGATTTTCATTCCGGGGTTGGTTTATTGATAGCGCTAGCTTAATCGTTGGTGGTGACGATACAAGCGCTATCCCGACAATACTTCATGTCAATAGAGAGGCACGAGAGGTCGGATTGACAAGATACGAGTTAGCTTTTGGATCCTACCACAGAGTAGGAACAGCATACGTTGATTTTGAAAGAGACACCTTGAATCTAACTCAAGCGGGTTCTAACTGCGTATTCATGTTAGTTGGAGGTCGTTTCGAGGGTATAGATCATATAGAAAAGGTCCAAAATCTGGAGTTCAGGGTGCAACTACATTTCTGGGACTCGAACGATTTTTGTTGGGACGATGTGATACAATTTACCGGATTGAAAAAATTGAGCTTGAGAATATTTGAGAATTTCATAGACGAGAACGAAATTTTAAATGTGAAAATGGCACTGGAGGATTTTGCGCGTCGACATACCGAGTGGAAGTTGCCAGATATTAGGGTTGGGTTTGATAGACCTGGTATGACAAAATGGGTAACTTTAGAACTTTAATGGTTTTTACAGCATAGAAATCGACTCGGAGTAGTTTTCGAATTGACTGCTGGACCGAAGACTCGAGTCAGCAAGGACCAAGGTTGGGGTGCTATGTACCTTCTATTAGATTTGATCTTGATTAGCCTTGTGGAACGTTTGGACTTGATATAGCCCGAGGTGATGGTGCACTCGGTATTCTTCTCCTGGGGGCACGTAACAATGTATGAGTCTAGCCTATTCTTGATTGTTTCTTTCATTTTGAAGTTGATGGTCTGAACAGTTCGTTCTGGATTGACGAGGAAAAAAATTTCTTCCTTCAACAACGACTGTTGTTATGAAATTTAGCAAGTCGCATTCTTACAAGCTCTATCAGCTCGAGTGCTTTTGTGTGGCGTACTTGCTATGTGGGAACTCCAAAGGCGACAAAATCTTTTACAAGGAACTTCAAACTTGGATGAACATCGAATGTGGGAATATTCTAGAATGACCACATCAATTCTCAGGCGGCCCTTTCGATGGATGGATAGATGGCTAGGTACAAGTGATTTCAGTCAGATGTTTCTACGTTCCAATATCCTAAGACAACATGGTTCACCGTTATAAATCATTGCACACTCTTCAATAACCATTCCTCGCAATGTCCGCTGCACATCCTGGTTAGCATTGTCTCTACCTGTATTCTGCCCATACATTTCATCGCTTTCTTAAATCAGCCGCCAGGAGTCCCAAAGAAACTATCATGTATAGAAACGAGCACTCCGAAGATTCGAATCCTCCTCATATAAAACACGAAAACACCGGTACAATCCGCAATCGTCTCCAAACCCTCGCTATTCACTTCGATCTGGCAGACGATATAAGGACAGAAAATACGGATATGTCAGATCATGGGGAAAAATCAGAGCTTGTCATGAGATGGGGTAAGGCCATGGCCAAAATCTGCGAGGTCAACCATCGTGGGCTCTATCTGCTTCTTATGTCATTTTATCATCAAATTGATCACAACCGTCGGCTTCTCCAACTATCCAGGGATTGCTCTACTTCTAATGTTCAGGGACTACAGCCTTTTCTGAGAGGCATTCCTGAATCCAAAAAGTTAACCTCGGAAGCTTTGATATCATATCTTCAGCAAAACCATCCTGAGCCAATTTTTCGATTGGTTAAGTGGATGCAGATCAATTTCGGGCAGAACTACTTCCCTCCACCTGACTTCTTAAAAGTCTCTGGCTTTTCGGACGATATATGGCAATTTGCCGTCCTCAATCCACCAGCACGAATTCGAGATCGATTTAACGTAGCTGTCACTCGGAACAACGGACAAACGTCGGTACGATGGCACGGTACTGCAATCAATACACTTCACTCGATCCTTCAAAATGGTTTCCAGACCAATAAAATCTGGACTGCTGGAAAACCAGGCGTATCATGGCGATATGCTTTCAAACAGGGGGCTCGCGACGCACTTAAAGCTGTCCGTCATCCATTATATGACCACGGCATATTACTAGGTCTGGAAGTGGCCGACCCGCCGGTTCCTTCAATTCTCACTCATTTAAAGACCGATTCCGACAAGTTCATGGTGAGGTATGTATTCGTGTTACCTCCAAACACGCCAAAGCCTAGGGCTACAGCTTCGAGACATATAGCGTTGTCGATGGAGGCGGCATTTAGGGAGTGGCCTAGTGAGGTGAAAGATGGAGACATGAGTAGTTAGATTCCTAGGGTCAAAACATTACCTGACGGTCCTCCCATCTCTTCGTCACATTTAATGTACTTTGGATGGGGGAAGTTCTTATCGTTTTGTGGTTTAGCTATCAAGGCAAACAATTACATGCATCCCATCTTACGAGAATTCTGAGCTTATCTCATTAGAACCTTTGCCGTGTCATGACAATTCAAGGTACTTTGAATTTGAGTTGATGAGCATGAAGCTTGACGTTGCAACAGTGGACCGATCATCGAATGGTCAAATAAAGACCTTGTGACAACCCCCATAACGACGCAGCCTTGTTCATAGGTGGTATATCAAATATGCATCTCTTATCTGATAGAATTTTAATAATGGTTTATGGTGGTCTATGGCGGCCAGAACATTGCCGCCAGATTTGCTTCCATTTGAAAATTTTACCTTCGATGCATGAGCTGTGCGTACAATTGAGGTTGTACGACCCTACAAGCCGTGATCTAGATCTTGATATTTAATTCTATAGAGCGTTCCTTAATGGGGTATTCAGCTCGCAGCTACAGACTAGCGTAGACATGGCTTGGGTATGTTGGAATGTGGTATTGGAAACTGGATGGACATGGGGCCGGGTACGATTCTGCTAGTCCAAGAGATGGGCGAGATATTGGATGTCAAAGATTGAGGTTTAGGAATTCTATCACCTTCCTCATTGAGTCATTGCTTCCATTCCGTCATAAACAATGTTGTTGAAAATCGAGCAACCTGATATATAAAAGCAGTGCTTAGAAGATGCTCGATTCGGAAGGCGGATGCATTGTATGCAGTGCTAGCAGCGCTATTGAAGAAAGCACTGTCTGCTTAGAAGCTAAGATATCTGTATTGAACACCAATAACAACACAATTTCATAGCGCAACCAATTCAGGCAAATCTCACAAACTTCAATACAACCTCCATGAGCGCCTCGAACCCCCTGCACTGACCGAAGCTCAACTGTATTTCGGCCAGCCAAGTTACAATGCGAAGCCACAAATATCTTCAAAATTCGATAATGAAATTTCAGAATAAAATGGTAAATTCGAACCTTAATGCGGTTCCCCGCACATTGCGGAAGGCAATGTCAATTTAACTCTATTCTAACGTCTTGGCCCCCTTGGCACGAGAGATAACATGCTCGGCAAAATATCGCAGCTTCCTATTTAGATCTACCGAGGCCGGCCAATACAGATATTTCTTCAGTCTGATCTTATGATTTGTTTAATGTGTATCTTCAATATGTGTAACTTTCTGGATGTTATGGAACGAGTTTATGAGCTTCTTGTTCAGAAACTCCTCCAGAAAAGTTCCCGTTCGTAACCGCAATTTGCCCACATAGAATTCTATATCAAACAGCATTCTCCCTCTCCTAGTACCTAGCTCATTGTACTCATCGACTTCTGCAAAGATGAAGCTTTCCCAAATATTCACCCTTGCTACTGCAGCTGCTGCTGCAGGTGTGGCTATTGCAGAGAAGGTCGACTATAATGGCTACAAAGTCTTCCGTCTCAAGGCTCAAAAAGACAATATCGAGAAGATTGATGACATTGTATCTTCGTTGAATCTTCAAACATGGAAAAAATCTGCCAAACTTGGAACGGCTGATGTGGTTGTACCACCTGAGCAGGTCGACAACTTCTTGAGAATTACTGAAGACTTCTCAAAACAGGTCATGCACAATAACCTTGGAGAATCTATTGCGGAAGAGGAGCACGCTGATACATATTCCATAGAGGCTGGTAAGTTTCATTGGCATTTTCTAGAGTTGTACTTAACAGGTATTAGCTCTCGCACCAAATGCTACGTGGTTCACTGCATACCATGCATATGCGGACCACATACAATTCCTTAAAGACCTTGTCACTGCACATCCATCAAATGCTGAGATTGTGACTGCTGGAACTTCCATTCAAGGCAATCCTATTACTGGTATTCATATTTATGGTAGTTCCGGTAAGGGAGTTAAGCCAGCCGTGCTTTTCCACGGTACTGTGCATGCTAGAGAGTGGATTACAACTTTGGTAAGTCAATAGTCAAAATTTCGACAATGTGGCAGCACTAACATTTATAGACTGTTGAATACATGGCGTACAACCTTCTCTCAAACTATGCCAGCAGCACGGAGATCAAAGGATTTGTTGACAAATATGACTATTATATCTTCCCGGTTGTAAATCCCGATGGTAAGTTTGAGAGGAGTTGCTTTTCCGGCATAGCTAAATTCGACCTTAGGCTTCTTATACACTCAAAGTACAAATCGGTTGTGGCGCAAGAATCGTCAGGCACCGCCATCCTCTTCAACTTGTTATGGTAGAGATATCAATCGAAACTGGGAGTATAAGTGGTCAACTGCCGGTGGAGCTTCCACGGACCCTTGCGCCGAAGATTATAGGGGTATGTATTGTCAATTGGCCCCAGATTATCTGACAAAAATGTGCTTAATAACGTATAGGAGTTGCTGCAACTGATGCCCAAGAAACCAGAGCTCTTGCTGCATACTCGAACAAGATCAAGGCAGCTCAAGGTCTAAAACTTTTCATTGATTTCCACTCGTACTCTCAACTCATGATGTCTCGTAAGTCGAATCAACCTCAAAACATTGTACAAATTTTCTAACTTGATATTCACAGCGTATGGATACTCTTGCACTGCTTTACCAGAGAACAATGCCAAGCACCAATCTCTTGCAGCAGGTTATGTTGCTGCCGTGAAAGCAGTTTATGGAACCGTCTTCACATATGGTCCTATCTGTTCCACAATTTATGCAGCCACTGGAAACAGCGTGGATTATCATGATGCAACCGTTGGTGCTGATTTCTCTTTCACCACTGAACTGAGAGATACTGGAACTTATGGTTTCGTTCTACCTGCTACCCAAATCACACCCAGTGTCATCGAGGCATATGCTGGAGTAAGATCTTTGTTGATCAATATGACATGAAAGTCAAAACTTCCGACTGCAACCTAAACAACAGGGAACAGAATTTCATTGTTTTGGATAAGGAAGGAAAGGGTGGTGCGGGCGGTATGATATCAAAATCAATAGAAAATTTAACCAATTTATGTTTTGCTGTAGATGTGTGTTGAATGAAAGGTCTAAAAAAATATAGTATAGTCTCGCGCAATGAGGTAAGATGCACTGTGGCTGCTGATTGTTAAATTGATCTCATTGGTTGTTGTCATGTGACGTATCTGTGGCTGACAGCCCTTGCAAAAATAATCAAATCAACTAGTTATCAAATCTTGTGCAAACTCAAATAATTACAAATTCGACGTATTTTGAATATATCGTTGGGTGTACGATATATTCAACAAACGTCAGTCAATATGTTCATATCATAACATTTATATAGTCAATCTTTTCCTTTGTAACATCAGATCATCAGGTAAAAGCGTTGCTTTACCCATTGAGCCTTTGGACTCATTCTCGAATCTGCGGCGAAGGACTTATGTGGATTTCTCCCTTCTTACTTGTTGAACATGTGGCTACGCACAGCTCATATGCCGAGATGTGTCGTGCCATCTACCCTGCCTGCTAGACGCTGTCGTCCTAATAGCGTGTCAATTTCCTCACAACGAGGCATTACCAGAAAGTTCTCACAGACCTGCAAAGCAATGTCCAGCGGTGAATCGCCAATAAGAGCTGAGCCAGGTAGAGTCCAAAACAATGGTCAAAGTCTAAACAACTTTGATTCCGCTCATGCGTCGCATCCTCAGAAGATTGCGGAAACTGATACAAACATGAAAATCTATCGAGTAGTCAAGGATTCGAGTCCTGATATGATAACTGAGAAGAGGATGGAGGATACTAGCGAGGGCATACAGCAGGAGTCCGACGCACACCTCGAAATATTCACAAAATTCCTAAATCAACTTGAGGGTGATGGCTATACGGCATTTAAAGAGCCATCACCCTATAATGTTGCGACGCAACCGACTACTACAATGGAAACAAAGTCCACTTCCACACAGATTGCGCCGGAAGTTAACGCCACAGGCGAGGAACAAGTCCAGGTTTTCGCAAACAGTCTGCCACGCAATAAAGATCTTCTTGGGGAATCTCAGAAACCGGCTGCCGAAAATGCCAGCGGCTACCAAGGACACGAGACAGCCGATTCAGGTACGACGACCAGTCAAGATATGGAGATGCCACGCAGAATCGATCAAACCATCACCATTTGTCTACATCTAGATGAAAAAGTCACAAAAGAGTTGGACAGAGCGGTGGCTAAATACTCACAGTATATACCAACTATGAACAATGGTCGGGCGAACATTGCAGTTATAAAGGGTTTGCCAGTGCAAAATTGGAGGCAATACCAAGTGTTCATGCGGTTTCTTCAATGTTGGAGGTCTCCTTTCAACATGGGACGAGTAAAGCCTGCCATGACACGCTTGGGGCACTACTGGGAAGTTTACTGGCAAATAGAGGACATCCCCGAAATCTTAGCCATCCGTCAAACTTTCCGTCAGGTATTAGAGGACGACCTTCCGCATTATAACTTTGCCCCTGACGCTCTCTGGGAAGCGAGAGCCGTACTCGCTCGAGGTCTCAGTCCAACTCAGGCACGAGAAGTTGTGGATTCAATCAACATAGCACATCCGGATGGAATTGACTTGGGTATGATCACGCGGTGTGTTTTAGTTCATACCATTTTCAGTTATAGCAAAGTTCGCACAACCGTCACTCAATCCCCGGAATTCCCCTTGATGGGTATAAAGTCAGATCAATTATCTCATGGCGCCAATGAGCACACAGAAATCAAAACCTTGTGGAATCGCTTGATGTCACAGATTGATACCACATTCTTCAAGGTCAGGAAGCCAAGTAAGTCTTACAAGACGGCGCCTAGCAAAAGACCACAGGAAAAGAAACTCGTTCCAAACTCAAAGTAATTAATTGACATCCCCTCGACGTGATGCATCAATTTGAATTCTATCGAAATCAACATTACTCACCTAGCGCTAGTATTTAGTAGGATTTCAAAAACGCCCGAGTTGATCGAGACCACGATTTATGTTGGAATCTGGACATCCATGGATGGCACTGTAACGTCCTGACTCAAATCTAGACAGAGATATGAAATTGTGATCTTGGATTCCGGAACTCTTTTCGAGAATTTATATCTCGACAAGATTGAAAAGGTATAGGCCTAAGGTATAGATGATGACCAGCAGAAGATCGTCCTAGCACAAGACAGAGGTACCATCCATATGAATAAAAGTATTGAACTAGTCCATAGTTCTATCGTGCTGATACATCAACGATAGGCATTCTTCTCCTAGGGCTGCTGTGGCCAGGTGACTATTTCTCTCATTTGGATGCCACTGTGCATCAGTACAATAACCCTATGCCAAAAACGTGCAAAAGTCGTAACTTTGTGTTTCCTTTCCTCTTTGTTCGGGTGCAATAGGACGGCAAAAATTGGCGATTAGTGTGTCTTTTCAAACTCAAGCACTTCTTTGTTCTCCAATAGTGAAGTCTACAGCTTCGAGGTATTTGATTTCTTTTCAACATTTATACAATTGCGATGCCGGAATCATGGAGCCAGAAAATACCACAAGATTTGAAAGAAGACATTCCGAACAACCAGATCAAGATGATTCTTATGAACAAGTCCGTAAATCCTACAATACAGTTGTTCAGGAGAGGGATGGCCTAAGACAATATGTCAGTGAGCTCGAGGAACAAGTACTACCTCGCTTCGATGTGAATGGCACAAATCTAGCTGAGGTATTTGTTACGCAAAAAAAAAATATCTTGAGCGAGTAATATCTCTCGAGGGCGCTATCGCCGAAGCCGAAGCCACGCAGTCTTATGAAATCGACAGAGCGCAGCGAGACAAGGCTGAGCTGCAACATCAATATGATGAGTTGTATCAAAAAACATTTGGACAAAATGGATACAGGGACCGATTGGAAAGTGCGCATGTTGCGCTCGAATTGGCGAATGATCCTCAACCTCCCGATGTTGTGGAACTTATCAGACAGTTAGCGCGTGCAAACAGAGAGAGGGATGAGTTCGACCACGAGGCTCGTAGGTTGGGAGTATGGGCCGAAGAGCTGAAACTTAATTGGAATGCTTCAATGGATGATGTTGAAGAATTAAAGAAGCAAAAGGCAGAATGGACAAATCTACAAGATAATTCGGTTGCTTTGCAGGAAGCTAACAAGGAAATTGAACGATTACGGGGAGTACAGGAGATAGAGGATTCTTACCGCGTGGAGGCGTCAAAGCGAGAAGTTTCACAACTACAAGAAGAGAAGGCTGCGTGGGAAGAAGACCGAATGAAGTTGGAGGGTCGCGCTGCGGAATTATCGCTATCAATAAGAACCCTGGAGGATATGTTGGCTGCTGCAGAGGCTCAGCAATCGTCTGATGTAGAAATGTCTGATGCAGGCGATAATGAATCGGTACGCTCATCAGGACCGGAGATTCTCGGAGATGCTGTCTGGAGACAATGGTCGGAGAGGCTATGGAATCACATTCAAGCCAAGCCCCAAGCAGTAGAAGGTCTCTTTCGCCTAGCTGCAGCAAATTTGTATCGACCCGGGGGTGTACTACCAGATGTAAACCCGGGGCCAGAGAGTCAACAATTCCCAGGCGTAACTTGGGTCAAAGAATTGATTGACTTAGTTTGAAGAAAGCACCTGGAGAGAATGGGCAAATGAAGTAAATGATTTTGTTTTGAATGTACCTCATGAGATATCTGCATTGTATCATTTGGCCGAAGAAGGACAACAAACAGCAGGCGCAGAATGGATTCGTCAACTTATTGCATATGCTACCCAATTACCTTCCCATTCGGAGCTTCCACGTACTTTTAAAGAATATCAGCTTGGCGCCGAACTCAAAGAAGCTAGAGCCCGAATCGAAGAGCTCGAAAGACTGGAAGCGGCTGGAGATGAAGCAGTTGGTCGTGCTCAATTTTTGAATGCCACCAACCGGCTACTCGAACAGGCACTTGAAAGATCCTACAAGAAAATCGCGGATAAAGAGCAAGAGATAAATGGAATGGCGGGCCAATTTGAAGATGAAATAGAACAATTGAATAGGAATCTCAAGAACTCATATGAGCAGACAAATCTTTTTAAAAGCTTATACGAAAAAGAGAAGAAAGCTCGGGAGGAAAATGATGAAATTAAAAAATTGCAAAGGGATCTCAAAATGGCATATGAAAGGGGGAATCATTTCAAAGAGCTGTACGAAACAGAGAAGAAAGCCTGGGAGGAAAATGAGGAAACCAAAAAATTACAAAGGGATCTCAAAATGGCATTTGAAAGGGGGAATCATTTTGTACAGCTGTACGAGAGAGGAAAGATACTTTCAGATGAACATGAGGATGTCTGGAAGCAGAAGTTTGAGAAGGAAGTTGTGGGCGCGGATAGGCATGCAGCTGGTTTGGTTGAGGAAATAGAGACATTACAGGGAAGATTGAGTGGAGCGCATGGTGTCATCGCCGAATTGGAAAATGAAGTCGCAAATTTACGAAGTCAACTCACTGAAAGAGACGCAGTCGGTAGCGGCGACGGTCCAAGTATAGCTGTTACCGCGCCCTCCAAAGGCTCTCAAAGCACATCCTCACATCGCACTCTCTCATCCTCAAGTCATACTCCCTCTGAGGAAGAAGAATCTGCTTCCGAGGAGCTCAAAATTGCAAAGACAGATCTTTATAACACGCTTGAAGAAGTAGAAGAACTCAAACTTAGGCTCGGATTTGCAAATCATGCGTTTCAAGATATGAAGGAAGAATTCGAGAGGAAAATTGATATAATTGAGAATAATGCAAAAGAGGAGGTTACGGAAAAGGAGAGGCTCGAGGAAAAATTGAGGATTGCGGAGGAGAGGATCAGGAGCGGAGTTGAGGCTGAGATCCGGAGACTGGAGAGGGAGGGACTGTTGGGTGCGTCGGTGGGGGAGGGGAATCCAATAGGAAGAGGAAGAAAAGCTGCGCCCGGAGCACTGAAACCTAAACCCAAAGTACCAGAAGAGGAAGAGCTTGAAAGTCCTCCGATCACACCGCTCGAAAGTCCGTTGGAAAGCCCGGATATTTTAATGAAGGACGATGATGAATATCATGATCCAAAGGGGAAGAAGGGTAGGGCTAAGAGTAAGAGAGTTCCAGCTGCTGTGGTATCGGAAGCTGGAAGTGAGGGGACGATGGGGGTGAGGAGGAGTACGAGAGAGACGAGGAATAAGAACCCTGTGTATAAGGAGCAGCCTCTGAAAGTACTTTTAGGGAAGAAGAAGAGTTCGGCTGGGAAGAAGAGGAAGACTGAGGAGAAGGTCGAGGAGGGAGGAGTTGTTGAAGGTGATGTGCGAAATGAAGACTTGGATGGTGCTAAAGACGGGGAGAGAGGTAAGGTCAGGAGGAGGGGAAGCAAAATGGTGTAAATTGCGGTTTTATTTATTTAAAATTTAAAAGGCAGTTGCATGTAATCAATGTTCATGCGAATTGAGTTCGTATTAAATGGACGAGGTATAGTGAGTACCGAAATAACCAAGTGATTCAGAGTGATGGATGTTACCAGCACGGAAAGCTTGTTCGACGATGAAACAAGTCTATCATCGACAATAAGACTATGGCAATGATAACATTAGCTATTGTCTGTCTCTATCTCCATTTTTATCGCAATTGATCTTATGTATGACCTGTATCTTCAAGCTTTCACATTTCCTACTCCTTATCTCCCACAAAGCTGTCTCCCGCCTACATTCCCTCCCTGCTTCAAAACATGAGAATCTAGTGAGGGCTTATATACATTTATATCTCAAAATGAAATCTCTATCTGCATGGAAATATCCCACACCAAGCTCTCTGAATATAACTGAAAATTACAAACTCTCAATTCCATGCTCGAGCATTTTCCTAGCCTCCAACAAAACAAACTGGAACAAGCAATAAAGGGAAGGGGTATATAAGAGTGCGGTTCGCCATGCAAGTTATCATCATGAAGACTCGAAGAGGAGCAGAAGCTGAGGAATGGGGTAGAAAGGTACAGTAAAGGAAGCACCAAAAGTCGGAGATACCATCGCGCAGGTGATAAGATTATAGATATAATAAAGACGGGGATATGAATCTCTGGAATATGTAACTCTCATCTCATTAATCAAGTTTGACAAATGACAATACAACGAATAATCGACAATCGAAAAAATGCGTTTTTATTGTCAGAAATTCACAATCTTATCATTAACAATTATTACTCAAAACCGATGATTCATACCATAGAATTGCAACCTAAACTATCCAGCTAGGAAACCATCTTCTTTCTCTCTGCCCTAGACTTGAAAGTTTGGACAGGCACTTCCCATGGGTTGATCATCGCTACTGATCGTTTGTTGTGTGTGGAGAGTATGAGTTTGGGGATGAGAGGGTGTTTATATATAGATACCTCATTATTCGATTACTAGGTAATTAAAATGGGGTGGAGGGGGAAGGGCAATCAATAGAGATCTTCTATGTGAACTCTCGATATAGGTCAGGAATACAGTGAATAAACAACCTTACCTTACCCCTCTTGTGACTTTTTACAATTTCAGGAGTTTTATATAAAATCCTCCATGCGTATGGTATATTCAAGGGCATACACGCAGAGTGATCGTGTATGGAGCGAATACAGGATTGTTGGTGTTCTTGGGAGGTTGGTAGGTTACTTACTTCTTCCGTTGGGAATCAGTTGTGGATGGATATCTACCATGCTGTATGTGTGTATGTGTGGTGTTAAATAATGCTTCCTGGTTACGTTGTCAGAACCCTCCCTATTATGTTTGATTTGGCAGTGATTACCTAGGGATATTCGATGCAATATGAATGAGATCCACAACACAAATGAATGAATACGTGACAACAGTAGGTATCCAGTATTTTGTATGCGTGCGAATCTAATTCCACGTTCAAGTCAAGTCAAGTGCTATGTAGCTGTGATTGAACCGAATTGAGATAACCCTCGAAGGTGAAATGCATCTCTGCCCTGTAAACACTACCAGGCATTACTTTCGAGAGTTGATGATTGAATAGTATGTTGAATGAGAGGTATATATACTTCACGAGAGAGCTAATGCTCTTGATCACCTATATAAGTGGAGTAAGAAGTGTTTGAAAAGAATATTTTATTCACTCTTTGTAGCCAGTTTGCTGACAGGGAGCTAGGCAACGATTATACTGATCGCTCGAGTGTTTGAGATAATCTCACCTTTGAAGTAAGACGTGCAACAAAGCGCTCAAAAACATGGACGGACCAATCAAATAGTCGAAGTTAGGTAGCTTGGGAGGATGAAGTGATGAGTTGAATATCAATATTCACCTCCTCACCCCCCAAATATCCTCAGACCTAGGTGGAAATATACCATCTCTCCCTCAAATCTCCAAAGTCCCCTCCATAACCTTAACCGCCTCACCACTCAAAACCACTTTTTCGATTTCCTGACCATCCTCCTTCGTCTTCACATCTACAAAAATATCATTCCTCCTCCTCATCTCCACACCCTGCTCAAACCTAAACTTCATTTCCTTCAGTCCCTTCCCCTCCTCCTTCCTCGTCAAATAACAAGCCAGCGCACAACTAGCACTTCCCGTCCCAGAATCTTCCTCCGCTTCAAACATTCTCGTTCGATATCTTTTCCTTCCCTGATCTTCCCCAACATGTACATAATACAAAGTCGCACACAACCCATTTCTCCACCCCTCATCTAAATCATCCGTATTATACGAACTTGGATTCAGGTTTTTGAATTCCACCGCTCTTGCTAAATGTTCCAGAGAAGGAAGATTCACAAGCACGAACGCCATTCCGTTAACGATCGAAACGATAGGACATTGCGATTCTTCTCCCGTATCAAAGTCTCTAAACGGATATGTTTTCTCATGAACATGTACATTATGCGGTATCTCCGCCCTGGCCACCTTTCCCCCTTCATCCAGCGAAATTGGGATTCTCCCAGCTTTGGTGATGAGGGCCTCTACACTCTTCATTCCCAGATAATGGAGTACGAAGAATGTAGTTCCGATAGTAGGATGACCAGCGAAGGGGATCTCGGCAGAAGTTGTGAAGATGTCGACTACCACTTCCTTTGGATTCGAATCTGCTGACTCGGGGAGATGGAGAAAAACGACTTCGGAAAGATTGAATTCTTGAGCGATTTGTAATTTTTGGGTTTGGGAAAGGGTGCTGGGGGATTGGGGACGGATGACGGCGAGAGCGTTACCTAGATAACGGATATGTGTGAAGATATCGAGGTTGGTGAATGGGATAGGCATTTTGAAGTGATTAGGATTTTACTTCGGAATGGAGGTCGTAATGAGTAGGCTGAATAAAATGCAGCGTCGACACACTCTGAGAATTTGTGGAAGTCGGAAGGATGTCCAGCAAGATGAGGATTTTCAACAAGTAAATAACAAAATGATTGCATTACAAGCAAGACATTTGATCGCAAAATTTCGAGCACTTATATGTAAGTGAGCTGGATGAAGAAGCACGTTATGACTGTTCCCACTGGAGATATCAATCCTGACTCATATATTTCCCCTTGTAAGATGCTCGACTCCGGTTTCGTGTTTGGATAAAGCTAATCGTGTACCCCTTACGTGTTCTGATTTCCAATCTACTTTCAGTGCAATTTGAATGTCAATATAATGTCAAGATGGATAATAGATATAACTTTATGAAGTCGACCAAAATCGAAGCGGGGTAGTCGGTGTAACAGCACACGTGATTATAACAGAAGCTCAAGGGTGAAAATGACATGGCGACGATTTCCGCATGACAGCAAGAAGCCAAAAGAAGGGTTGAGTTCACCTGGTACGTCTTGTCAAGAATTGTAGATTATTCAGTTCATATTATTAGTGAAGCCATGCGGGAAAGCTACACAAGCTAACTAGTTAGGATACCATGCGGAGTTTGAATTTGGTTACGAAGCTCACTATTTTCACACCTTTGAGCGTGGGAAGGTAATACTGGAAGAACAATCCATTATGCTTTTGTATATTATCTATGTAAAACCGCTGAAACCGAACAATCAATCAAAAACACCAGGTATCACATCGTACTATATCCCCCGTCCATATCCAAAAAAAAATCTAAACGATCTTCTCAGGTTGAGTCTCATGCGCAATGCCCTCATGACTCGAGTGACCACTCTTTTGGTCTCCAGCAGTGTATCTAGCCAAAGCAGGGTCATAATTAGCAGTTCCTGGAACTTCACCCGCCAACTCTTCGAGAGTCTTTCTCTTGGTCTCGGGAATGAGGAATGTGGTAAACAATCCCAACAACATGAACAATGCGAAAATTTGCATAACATGATTTAACCATGGACTGGCTGCAGCGCCAGTAGCGCCTGGAGCAGCACCTTTTGTTCGGAGTGGTCCGAAAACGACTTGTGCAATAATAGCTCCTACTTTTCCGGAAGCAGCAGAGATACCGTGAGATGTAGATCTGTAGCGTGTAGGGAAACATTCTCCTGGTACGATGAAAGTGGTAGAGTTAGGACCGAAGTTGAAGAAGAATTGGGCGACGACGTAAAGGGCCAGAAGGGCATGACCGGAAAGTTTGTTGTAAGCGAATCCGATGATGATGAAGAGAATGGTAAGAATGGTGAAGCCCATAAATTGGATCGGCTTACGGCCGAGAGTATCAATTGTAGCGACAGAGACCCAGTATCCAGGAATGGCACCAGCACAGACAAGAATAAGATTACCAACGGCAGTTTTGTAAAAAACTTCATACATGTTGTGGCCACCTGACCATCCAATAGCAGAGAGAATGACGGAGTTGTTGAGACCGAGACCATAATAGGCGACATCAAGGAAAAACCATGAACCTGCTGTACCGAGGAGGATTTTGCCGAATCTCCATTGTTTGTAATGAGCGATAAAGTCTGACCAGCTGGCCTTGGGGATCTCGAGCTCTTGAGCAGCTTGATTGTTGGTGGTAGCGCGAGTGATCTCGTCTGGTGCACCATGGCTCTTTCCTTGCTTGTAGGCTTGTACATCCTCGCTAGCTTGTTCAACATCACGGGCAACATCAAAAGTGTATCGAGGAGTTTCGGGAATGGTCAAACGATAGTAGAGAGCAATGCAACCTGGGACGGCACCGAAACCGCTAGTATCCATTAATGATGTGTTATGCCAAAAGGAGCAGATGAACTTACATGATAACACGCCACATCTTGTCGACAGCAAGTTGACAAACGCCAGTGCAAGTTGAGGCCTTTGATCCAGTCATGAGGGACTCTTTGAAACCTGCGGTGACAATCAAAGCAATGATGGCAGCAGTAAATTGACCAATACCTTGCATGGCGAATACTGCGTTCATCATAGCTCCTCTCCATTTAGTGGTTGCGAATTCGGAAGTGATAACACTTGACAAAGGATAGTCTCCACCAATACCGATACCCTGATATATGTAAGTATGTGAAGCGGAAAACCTCAAAACAAGTGCTAGCTTACCATCAATACACGCCAGAAGATGAATAGACCGACAATAGAGACAGCGTGTGATGGAGAAGAAAGGGCTTGAGCGAGAGTAGCAAAGATGATAATCATCAACTCAAGACCATACATCTTCTTACGACCGACAACATCTGCAAGCCATCCGAAACCAAGTTGACCAATGACAGTTCCACCGGAAGTGGCAACCTTAATAGCAGTATCACTGGATGTGGGAATCGTACCCTTTGAGACACTGTTCTGGAAAAATGCTATTCCCAACATAGAGGTGACCAAATTAATGGCGAAGATCTATGGCAACGATCAGCAATGACCTCCTCCAGTGTTGTGATTACATATACTTACATCGTAGGAATCGGTAAAGAAACCAATACCTGCGACAACACAGGCACGGACGTGATACCATCCAAATGGAGCTCTATCGATCTCGGCAAGAGCAAGACGTCTTCGCTCGTTGGCGTCTGTAATATGGGCGAAATCATTGTTGAAGTTGTGGAAGGCAGAATTTCCACCTACGGTAGTGTGGAGGGCAGGGGCAGGGGCAGCCATTGCGACGAATTGAAGGAATATTACCTTGGCAACGAAGTTTGTGGTGAGGACTTGGTGCGAGTGCTTGACTGAGGAGAGAAGGACTTTTGCAAAAAGGAAATCAAGTATCCTTATATTTCTTCCTGCAAGGTGGGAGTCCAGTTGTTGCTTACTTCAGAGAATTGAATTTTAATGTGAAATCCATGGAGGATTCTATTAGGCAAGGAGCTCCGAGTCCAAAGTCTGGGCATCCCAAAGTGACAATGGTTAGATCAGAACTGATTCTTATAAAAGTCCCAGTTCCCGGGTCGCCAAGATTACATTTTCAGCAGTGAATAAATATCTAGACCACTCATTTGGGGTTATCGGGCTGGCGACCCCGAGCAAAGGGCAGAATCAACTTTGTGGCTTGAAATCTTGCCATTGTGTAGCATGTAGATGTCTGACTTTGAGATTTTTGGCGCCGTTGACGATCTATTCAAGTAATAGAGTTCAGCCTCTGAAGGCTGTAAATGGCCGATGACCTTTTGGTAATTCTAGACGGGCAGACGGGGAAGTGAAAGAGATCCAGGACCCTCTAGGTGATGTCCGAATTTAGTGCAGGATCCATTTGTACCCTTATTTTGACGCCAAGCCCGTTGATTCGTTGAATCCAATCAACTTCCCCAGATGTACCACGCAGCTTTTGAATATGCTGAATTCATTGGTCGAGTATCATTTCCAAAAGCTCGAACTTTGATGCCTGCATGCTCTAAGATGACATGCTCTCTAGAATAATTTCAAATTTATATCCAAGGAGCTCCAAATCCGGAAGGTGCAAACACGTGGAGCGATGAATCAACCAGAATTAGAAATCCTCTAGAGGACCAGAACATGTTGCTTTCGTGGGGTCTGCAGTCTGCAACCTGCAGTCCGTAGTAGCTTCGTATAATGGATCACCAGCGGGGAGTATTGCTATCCTCGTGGTACGAAACAAACCTTTCCTGTGCAACGATATCCCTTTACTGCAATATTGCACGCGACATGGCTCAAAGATAACGGGTACGTGTCTTTTCATTTAGCCAATACCGAATGGCCTTTGATCTTGTTTCAGTGAAGCTTTTTCTGCTGATAATGCGAAGATTCAACACAAGATGTTGGGCAATAATTGACATGTTCTTGGCTGAGGTTGTGGATATCCAATGAAAGTTGGGGAAATAACAACGTGCTCGAAGATTCAGCGGAGATCAGAACTAAAAACGCCTCGAGTACGCTAATCCAACATGGGATTCTGGCCCGACAGCCACCAACAGGCTAATAAGTTCCACAGGCTCGAGACAGGTACGAAATAATTCAATAATGATACTAGGGAAGTTACAATCTTATCTGAGTTATCGAGTTTCCGGTATCTTATCGACGCCTCCCAGTGGAAAAGAAATTCTTGGGTTTCCTCGGCCACACGTGTCAAACGGAAACACAAGAATCTTACGAAATGCTTGAATTGACGAAAATGTCTTTGATCTTAAGTTCGCTAAGAAAAGTTGGTACTTCGTCGAGTGTAGATAGAGAGATGACCTTCTAGCCAGGCACCAGACTCTATAAAAACTGGGCAGGGCATGATATTTGAATGGTGGATGTGAATGGTGGCGGATGCTGCCAGTACCTACCCAATTTTACTGTCTATTGATCGACAAATACTCCTTCTCATCCAATCATCTCGACATGAATCTCTTCCTCGCCAAAAATCACGCCCTTCATCACTCTTTCATTCATATAACATCCGCACGAGGCTTCGAAAGAAGCTATCCGCACCTATCTTATTAACTCCAATTGGAAAACTCTCATGGCCTGAAATTTCTTATAACCTCAAAGATTCAATTACTGTCAGATGGTTGAAGGTTTTCATTCATTCTGCTACCCCAGACTGTTGTATGTCACGAGATTCCTAACTGTTCCCAACCACTTCTACTTTCATTTTCTACACTATGCTATGTACACATTCTCAAGAAAACAACCATTCTACGACTATTCTTTGTTCTCTTTGATGATACAAGTACAGTGCCTTTGTTACAGCTAAGAAACGATCCCCAAATCTGGATTGAACAACGATACAATCTTGGCTATATAAAGCCACTTCAATTCCCTTGCCAATCAGCACCTTATTCTTCATCTACTCTCGAGTTACTTACATTCCACAAAGAAAAATCCAGAATACTTCTTTGTCAAGAAAACTACAACTCTTAATTAGCGGTAAGCATAACTTCCCGCAAATATGTCCGCAGCCTTCGATTACGATGCGAATCTCGCCAAAGTTTTGAATGATCCCGTACGACTTCGACAGACATACGATCCATATGAAGATCCCGACAATTATACCACCGGAGAGTCAGAAGTTTTAACACCCATACAATATCTCGAACGCGGCAACGCCGTTCTTCAAGCTAACAGGATCGCTATCAATGCTACTCCTCACCAAGATGTTGCATATCCCAATTGGAACATCCGCTATGTGAACGTCGACGGAGGTCACGACCGGGCAATCTCTGAGTATCTCTCTAGATATGGCATGGCAACAGCTCTCACGGATCTTGGAATTGAACATGAAGGTAATTACTGGTCTAGATACAGTCTCTCTTCTAGAGAAGTTGTAAACCCGGTAAATAAGGAAAAGTATCAAGATCTCCGTTCTGCTAATGTAGCTGAAATCTTTGCATCTCCGAAATTTGGGACTATTTTCACTCTGAACCAGTGGGCAGATGCAGATTTTGACGATCCAGATATATTCACGCCCCGTCTCTGGAATAGCGAGCTCTTATTTCAAACATGGCGCGATACATGCTATACATATGTTTCTCCGACTGGGGGGAATGTAGAAATTCTGCATCCTTTACAGATGCAAAAACTCAAGTACGTCATCATTGCCCCAATCTCTAATCACGGAACCTTCATAACGATTTGTGATGCACTCAAAATCAAAGGACTTTCAATCGAGGATAACGAATTCAACATGGTTACTTTCTCATGCAACGACATTTCCACAGCGAGTGCTGAGTTTACCATGTTGATGGGAACTACCAACGCAAGACCGGTCGCTAGAATGCTTACTGATCATGTAGATAGTCTAGGTGCGAAACGAGTGGTGAAGATTCATGCTTGGTTATCCATGCCCAAGTTCGAGTGTCCAATGTTGGTTTTTGAATTAGCGCGCGATCATCCTCCTACTCCTGCTCCTTCTCCTGTTCCTACTCCCGCTCCTACTCCCAAGAAGACGAGTAGAAAGATTAGTACCAAGGTAAAAAATCTGATGAAGAAGTTTCAACAATGAGAGGTAAGTTGGCGACTATTTCTTTCTTCACTATAACCTCAAGAGCGCTGGCGCTCACCAAAAAAACTTGTTTTAGAGATTCTACTAGAGTCACAAACATAAACGAATAATAATAAAATAGGAAAAATTCAATTAGATGTGCTGCTGTGGTATAGTGATTCAATAGATCTTGTGAAATTAAGAATGAAACATTCCAATTTTCATCGTGGAGGCCATGTTTTAAAAAAGGTGTAATGATTCAGCTTGAGTTTCGTGGTAACAGTATTTCCGGAAACATAGCAGAAATAAGTCTTTCTCCAATCAAATGATTCGAGCGATTAAACAGAGCGAGTGTTATAGTTTCGTGTCAGTTGTTTTTAGTACCTGTTTATATCCCCTTATTGCTAATAAACAATTGAGTTTGAACTATAGTTCATATATCATATATCACTTACTTATTCCCCCACAAGTGATGAGATAACATCTAAAACCTATGAAACGCCGAAAGCGTATTGAAGAAGGGTTCAAAGGAAGATTATATATTCATTCATCAATACTCCAGAGAGCCAATCTGGCAGAAGGTAGGTATACGATATGAGATCCAGTTAACAGCAAGAGTGTGGAATTGAGTGAACAACACCACGAAATGACGTGAAGGTGTAAAGAACAGTATGATGAAAATAGGCATAGGTGCGAGAGTCAAGATACAATCGCATATGATGATGATATGGAATTGGGAGTGGAATGGATAATGCGCAGTGTATTATATATCACTCATGGGTTGAAGGTAGCAGACTCCGATGTATGGTATATGATGGATTTTAATGACTTGCTCAAGTTTTGATATCATGGGTATTTAGGATGTTGTCAATGCTGTTTGAGCTCAAATTTCACATAATTTCATCTTCTCTGATGTCTGTTTGCAATCCATACAAAGTAATTTTAGACTCCGTAACACATCCTCTCTGGCTAACTTTGCTTACAATCCGCAAACTGGGTATCACATTAGATAGTACTCAATCTACATACCATTACATATTAAAAGCTTGAAGCTAATTCTCAAACCCCCACAACTAATGATTGATCGATACTACTGCCATCTGAAAGCGCTCGTACATCATTAACATGTAACACCATCTTCAAGATAAAGCGGGGAGTTTAGTTTGATGTATGTCGTCTCACAATCTGCAGTCCATCTCCAGTGTTCGTTTAATAAATGCCAGCAGATTGGTGATCACAGGCTATTTTATAAGTTTTCAGGTAATTTGAGACAGTTCAATGGATTGGCCTTCCCCTGAGTCCATTATTCTCAAGGGTATTCTTCAACAGTGAATACCATTTGATCCAGCCCACTACATTGAAAGATTAACATCAACATCATCGATTCTACGACTGGAGCTAGTAGCACCAGACACCACCCCTTTCAAACAATTGCATATCTTATCAAATCAAAGTACACGTAACAGAAAATACACCACGCATGTCTCCTCGTTCAATAAACCTAAAGGTAGACATACGCCCTTCTCCAAACTGCGATCTAGAAGTATCGTCGGCCAGTCTGACATCTATACACTGTGATCCGCAAAAAAAGTGTCCTGGTAGATAGATAGAGATAGTCTTGAGAAAAATAATACCATCAACCAAGATTAAGATGCAATTATGATTGATATTCACGCGTTTTCCATCACCTATTGAATCTCTGTCTCATAAGGTTATCTTCCTTCGATGATTAGATCAGTATTTGCAGCAACCTTGTTAATAAATAAGTAGATTATCTGAATTCTGAGCTGAGAGATCGCGTCTATCAAGATTTATTATGATGAAAGATATTGATTGATGCCACCCCTAATTAATAATTCCCAATACGCATGTAACCTTAATTTCAAGGCACCAATACTTCAAGACTAACCTTGGAACCTTGATACTTCGTACGAAACCTTGTGAAAATTTTCCTGCAAATATACTTTTTGCGCGATAGCAAGCGATAATGAAAATAATGAATATCTCTAATCTCTGGATTCGCGTTAGATGTTTGCTCATTGCGTGAGGTGACTCTAGCGAGTCTGAATTCCTTCCATCCGGCGTTGTACATGTAGGATGGTTATTTAGATATTAGATATGGCCACAAGGTATGTAGTGAGAAAGAGGGATATAGAGAGTAATATTATTCATGATACCGTTTCAAGTTCCTGTATTACAATTTGTTTGATTCTTCCCATCCAGTGATGGACAAATAGTATATACCATACCCTTATCAATCTATTCATCAAAATTCCAGTCAAACCACCGGGGCATGCAACGAAACCTGCAGAGAGAATATACATTTTGATCGCTGTCCCAATCTTACAGGAAGATGAGTGATGCTAACTCCTAGGTCCAAATCCTGCCACCAAGCTATTCCCATTAACCCATACCGATATTCCACAGCAACCTTTGAAACAAACCCCAGTCTTCTCACGGCGAGAAACGAAATATATCCTCACTGTCTTCTTCATCATCTCCCCGACAATAATTCCTCAATAGATCTTCCATGCTCATATTTGGCCCTTCGACACTAGTGTGTGAACTCTGATTATCTGGGCTGAACAACTCCGCCATTAGAGCTTCTTCATCGATAGGTGGACTCGGGCCGTTTGAATGTTCCGATGCACCCTCTTCACCAAAGGGTGGCAATTGGGATTCGTCCAGCTCGTTCAATCTCTCAGTTGTTAGCGACTGGGGCAATGATTCATCTTCATGACTTTGCGCTGGAGAAGAAAACTCATATTCTGTGGAATATGAACTGCCGGAATCATATGTATCTCTTTCCGCGTCTTCTATCTCCGCATCCGGCATCTTCGATTTGTCATCCATTGACATAGCAAAACAGAATACGTGGGACAGTCCAATTCTTTTGAAACCTATTGCTCTCCAAAATGCAATCGCATCTCTTCTTGCTGTTCCTTTCAGTTCTCCTACATATGTGAAAACGTATGAGATGTCGATTCTGTAGGCTCTCATCTTAAATAGCAATCCGGACACTAAATACTTTGCAAAGCCTCTGCGACGATACTGCTCTTCAACTCTCATCAAATCAATCATAAGAAAATTGCCAATGTTTATACGAGCATCCCAAATGCCCGAACCCTTCCGAGGCCCTTGGAACCATTTTTGCTGCAGTTGACCATATTCATCAAACATCACGCTCGCCATTGTCAAGCTGCATTCAGTATCTATATCTTCCATCGCTCTCCCAAATCCTGCTTTTTCTGCAAGTGCGCGATTGACTAGGTGGCCCGCCATGATGCCGATGTTACCACTATGATCGGGAAGATCGCAAAAGATTTCAAATTGTAAATAAATGCATTCTCTATTCCATGTGAGATCAAAGTTGCGAAAGTCTGGAACGATGCTTAGGATGAAATCCGGGGTTTGTGGGGCAGGAGAAGGATCCATCTCGAGAGCGTTATGACTAGAAGTTACAGCTGCAGACTGATTCTGTTGCTGGATTGGTATTGTAGAAGATCAAAGTATAGCGAAGAAAAATGAAGGAGAAACAGTAAACAGACCTGAAGTTTAAGTTTCACATACAACTTACTAACTTTTCGAATTAACTTCCAACTTTGTAATCGTAGGGCACATTGGGGCAGAACGGTGTTCATGTTCGGAAATTCCTAGAGCAAAAAGAACTCCTTTTTTTCTGCGTATCCTAATCCGAGGAAGACAATCTCAAAACAAGAAGTATACATAGGTTAAAGTCGCATTCTGAGGAGATGACTCTGTTACGCATTGCGTTGGTGGTCTAAATTGATGCCATTGCTCTTGACGTTTGTTTATGAAAAATTGCCAGTCTTATATCGATGCTATCGTTCCTTCTCTCCATTTTAACCTACACCGAGTGAAGAAGGAACGGTTGATGTGTGCTTGATGGATGCGAAGCAAAGTATTCGAGAATGGAAAAACGGAAGCATCGACGGGAGAAGAGTATCGGTTGACTTATCGATCGTCGTATCTGTTTTCATATGGTAAATATTCGTTGCCCTAAGATGCAAATCATGCTCAGAAATCTCGTGCATTGGATCGTTTCGGATTGCTGCAATACGTTGTTAGGCTCTAATTTCTGCCAATGACCCCTGCATTGATGACGAGGTATAAGCTAAGAGGGAGGGAGCGAATCACATGGTATGGCGCTTTGACCCCTGCCGCTTTGGTGCCAATAGGAACATGATGTAAGAATTGACATCTCATTCACTTCACAGTTGGTTAACAGTAGGAACGCAGGCGCAGTGCGTCAAATAGAGTGAATATGAACGATGCATCCCACAGTAACGTTCCTTGAAAGCCACTTTGAGATGCATTCCCCCCATAAATTAGATAGGCATTGCCAATCTCAACTTCCAGAAAGTCATCTCCTTGTGTGGCAAACTTGTAACTTACCTCCCAACCCGAAGTAAAGATCGAAGTAAAGAATTGGTTGCCTTTATTGATATTAAAGACAATCAGAACTTGAACTCCAAGCAATTGAGTAGCAGCCGTAGCCATTTGCATATAGGTTTGCATAGACCTGCTCCCTGGCCAGATTGTACGAAAGGACGATGTCAATGAAAGTAGACGGCATCCGAAATGAAGAAAATCGTATCATTACCTACCGCCGTCATTGATAGAAATACTGAAGGTCGGTATAATCAGCCTCACTTGACCAATTGCCGACATATGCTGTTATTGTAGGAGAGTATATCTGGTGCTGGAAAAATTTGAAACAATATACGTGGCATCGACACGATAGTTTCCGGAAATGCATATGCGATTATAGATGACACTGAACAAAGTCGAGAGATTCGGTTTGGAAATTGGTATCGGGAGTGGTATGATCGGAGTAGCGTCGGAATTGGGCGATGAGTTGGCCGAATGGTATGTGGCATGGTGAACACCACAACAGTTCAATCAACCGCACATTGCGATGAAAATTATTGAAACTGTTCACATGCTTAGAAAAATAATGAATATTTTTTTAGATAGAAATTTATTTCAAATAAACTGAGGCTGTGTTGTATTAGACATCTGTTAAACATTTGTGGCACAATCCTATTTTGATTTTGCCAAGTCGAGTCATTTTCGGTCGCACTCTTTCGGAACACCCGGACAAAGTTGCACCAGAGTGCTCGCCATTCCCAAATGTTATGGAAATTCATTAAAGAGAAATGTCGTGAAAATGACAGTCTCTTCAAAAATTCTTCACCTCTCGAAATGATGTTGAGAGTGTTCTTCGTCTTGTGCTCTATGATATGACTGCCGCCTTGCGTATGCCTGCCAAACTCCGTACAGTAGCATAGCAAGCCCAAGAGATAAATGCAGATAACTATGTATGGCTCACAATGTGAAGAAATGGTCAATAACTTGTATGTTTTTCCATCGGCATTGATGAAAATTTGAGGGAATTATTCCAAAAAGTAGTTGGGGTCTCGGTCGCAATCTGAAATAATCGCGAGTCAAAAATTGGCCAACTTTCGTTGATACCCATAATTGAAGCAGCAACAAGTCAAAATAACATTCTTTTCATATACACTTGATGATATGTCAAATACGGATCCCCTCATATAAGATTTATAACAATTGAAGGTAGTTTCGTTGATTGTTGGGCGTATGTTGAAGATACGTAGAAAAGATCGTGATGCTTCAAAAAACAACAAATATCTCGACACAAAATTCAATCTGATGCACTCGCAACCACAACTCAAATTTTGGAACAAAAGTATCATTGATGTAACTATTTAATTGATGAAATCACTAATAACATTAAATATTGTAATGTAGAACGCGTTCCCCGTGTCTAATAGCAAAACAGTAAGACATGTCAACTTCATCAAACTCGACGATGTGAATTTTATATCAATCATCTATCAAAAGCATCGCGTGCTATTGTCATCAATTCGCTGAATTGAAAGATCAAAATAGTTTTGATGGAATATAAAGATTCACAAATATCAAGGGGAAATACAAAACCTCCTCTCTCCCCAGATAAAAAAGAAAGAAAAGTGTGGCAGATTCCCCCAAGTTGAGAGGGGGATGTGGAAAAGTGCGAAAAAAAAACCGAGTAAGTCGAGTTGGGGTCGCATGATCAAGGCGAAAGCTTTGAGGGGGTATTAGACGGTCGAACTAAGCACCCATTTCCCTCCTTTAAACCAATTAGCTTCCGTAAAATTGGAGTTCTAAAATGCCTTTCGTTTGCATTTTTTATAATTAATTGCTTAATTCGGACTAGTAGTAACAATTCCGTTAGAACTGTGGAAAGATCACCAAGACCTTTTCTCGCATCTACATAAACAAACCCCCCCCGCTTCCCAAACATGAACCTTCGGAACCTCTTTTGCCTTTCAACATACCAACAACTTTCCACGTACAATCAATCCAAATCATAACCTTTTGGACTTTCTTGTTCATTATCTCAAGTTTATCAATTTATTACTTTTAAATCCATTCTACCAATATCACTCAAAATGCCACCAAAGGCCGCCACTACTACTGCCGCTGCTGCTCCAAAGGCAAAGGCTGCTCCATCCGACCATGCCAGTTACCAAGGTAAGGAATAGCTTCCGAATCCACAACACCACGTCGCATGCACATTATCTATACATGGCTATGATCGCATGCTTCTCATGCATCGGACGTGGAGCTTCATTTTCCCACACATCAATTACTAACGCGTTGTAACAGACATGATCATTGATGCTATCATCAACTTGAAAGAGGTACGTTCTGGTTCCTCCATCCACTTGTACGTTTCATACATATGCTAACATTCTTTCGTAGCGCAATGGATCTAGGTATGATTCCCTATTTATGTTTCGCACAATTCCCTACACTCAATACTCGACGCGTCTTAAAACAACTCCTCGTACTCGAATCTCATACTAATATCAACACAGCCGTATCCAACTTAAGAAGTACCTCAAGGCCAACAACAAGATCAATGCCGGTGACAGCATGTTCGATTCTCTCTTCAACCGCGCCTTGAAGAACGGTGTCGCTAAGGAGGTCTTCATTATGCCAAAGGGTAAGCCCCTCCTTGCATCACCCCATACCAACCCTTCCAATGTCTAATCCCTCCTCTCCAGGTTCCTCCGGCACAGTTAAGCTTGCACCAAAAGCCAAGAAGGCCCCAGCTGAGAAGGCCCCAAAGAAGGCCACCGAGAAGAAGGCCGCACCAAAGAAGACTGCCGTGAAGAAGGCAACTGCTACCAAGGAGAAGAAGCCCGTCGACGCTACCGCCACCAAAGAGAAGAAGGCTGCACCAAAGAAGGCCGTCGCCAAGCCAAAGGCTGTTGCTAAGCCAAAGGAGAAGAAAGTTACAGCCACCAAGGCAAAGAAGGCTACCACTCCTAAAGACGTAAGTCGACTATATTCCACACACTCACATAAACATAACTAATAAAGACTATAGGCACCAGCAGTAGTTGCTAAAGACACTATCCTTAATAAGACCGCTTCTGGACGCGTCACCAAGACAAATGCACCTAAGAAGGCTGCACCAAAGAAGGCCGTCGCCAAAAAGGCTGCCCCTAAGAAGGCCGCTGCTACTGCATAAACATTTCTCAAGGAAAATATTTGCAAGCATCTTTCTTTCTAATGAACTGTTCGTAAGGCGTTTGGTAAGGCATGGGATATTACGCGTGACTGGACCGCGTTTGTTTGTTATTTGTGGATTCCATATTTTTTGTGCTCTGCTCTGCTATGGTTCTGGGAATATGTTATAAGCGTAATTGTTCAAAATTACAACCTTTGACAATTACAGGTACTAGGAAACTATGTATTGGACTGATGGAATGGTATGGATGGGCGTTGGGAGAGTCGGGTTTCTAGATACTTGGGATTTTGTGATAGCGATTAGTGATGGATATCAGATTATGTTGTACTTGTACAAAGGATCAACGACAACCTGAAGGTAGCGGAATATAAAGATTTTTCAAGTTCATTTATTTTTGTGTTGCTGTGATATTTTCCATTGTCCTTGTAGAGTTTGCTGTATTCTCATATTTTCACTTCTTCAGTGGTGGGTTGGTTGATTTGATTCTTACTCAATGAATCTTCGGGGACCATCCTATTTTTTTTTTCTTCTTTTTACTATGAGGATTTGCTGTACTCCATTTCCTTTTGCTCGAGCATAAATCAAGAGATATTTATTTCAAAACATGCATACATCAATACAGCAGAGCTTAGAAAGAACTAAAGATGGTGAAGGTGCGACAAAGAGTATACGCGCGACGCGTCGGTTGATTTGTTTATTTTGGGATTTGCATTCGGGTCCGTATTGGTGATGGGGGAAAAGAATGGGAAATGGAATATTATTCTTTCTCTGAGGATCCTCGTGGGAGATGGGAGGGGGGATTTTGTGGGTATGTTTTGGTTTGGTTTGGTTTGGGTTGTTTGTGTGAAGGGGGGGAGGGGAAGGGGAAGGGGAAGGAAAGGAGAGGGGAGGGGAGGGGGTTATATGAGGGGGGCGATTTTGGGAGAGATTTTGGGAGAAAGGGGGGAAAGGGAGGTATATATATATATATATGAAAGGGGAGGGAACGGGGGGCTGGATTGGATTGGATGTTCTTTGTGAGTGTGAGTGTGTGTGTGTGTGTGTGAGAGAGAGAGAGAGAGAGAGAGAGAGAGAGAGAGATCAGAATAAGAGAATGAGGAAGAGGGAGAGAAGGGAGAGAGAGGAAGTAGTAAATCAAGGTGTAATTATGTATGAGGGGAGTTTGGGAAGTGTATATATGTGAGGGAGGGAGAAGGGGAAGAGGTGAGGGGAAGGTGAGGTATCATTTCTTTTCATTAGGAGGTGGTAGGTAGGAGACTGAATGATTATTCTTTTGAGAAATGTGATGAATGATATTGGGTGAGGATAAGTGAATGTGATAGAGGGAGGAATAGAGGGGTAGATAGAATCGCGAGTTTGGAAAAGGGATTTGGATATCGAGATGTTTGAGTAGGTGTGGTTTAGTTTTCTATCTTGGGATGTGTGGAGAGATCCGATAGTCCCAAGGGTAGATGGATAGATATTAGATATACTAGACAAGGAAGTAAATAGGGAAGAAATGTATTGTTTATCTAACTTATATGATAGATAACTTATTCAATTCTATGATATGTTCCTCTATGTAAACAAATCCAAACTCTACACCTACTTATTTACCCATATACATACAATCTAAACAGTGATGGAATAATCTCTACTCCGGAAACCATGGATTAGATATAATATCATTTTTATAAAAATCATAGTTACGTATATAGACAATACGTTAGTCAGTGTATCTTAGCTGTAGATAGACTGAATCGATTTTGAATTTACTACTACTATACAATACATGAATACACAAATTGTTCTGAAGCACTTTGTGAGTTTTAGATTTCAGATTTCAGATTTGATTTCAAATCCTAGCGGGTGATGAAGTGAACAATAAATGTTTATCTATTGAGGTAGATATAGGATGAGAGATGGAGATGAGTGATGAAAGATGGAGATGAGTGATGAGAGAAAATGTCTACATGTCTATCAGTGCAAGTAAGATGATTGATGAAGCTTGATAAATGAATGAGTGAGTGAGTGAGGTCTGAGAGGAGGAGAGAACAGGAGAGGGATGAGACATATATCATTACTACTCCCTACACAGAACTTGAAAGCGGTTCTAGAGAACGATGCAGAAATGAATTAGATGGTATAGTAAGTCTTCTAATAATTGAGCATAGAAATACAAGAGAAATATGAGATATTGGTGATCCACTCCCTTCCTTTCCTCTTCCTTCGTATCTTTTAATAACACAACGCATTGTCAGTGCCACACAGACACAGATATAACATACCTAGGTAGCACAAACACAATGAACAGATAGATGCACAACACTGCCGTGGCTCGCTTGGGTAGCTCCAAACCTACCTAGCTTCATGAACGAGCACTGAGTGCCGCGCTGAGGCTGAGCTGGATACCTAGTAGGTAGGATAAGCCGACTCGCCCACTGGTGCTACTCTGTAGTATGTACACCGGTGAATTTTGGAGTATCGGGTTTAAGTATTTGCTAGGTACGGTAGTTTTAAGGATGGAGATGGATGGAGATTGGGGGGAGATGGCGTGCGTGTGAAAGACTTGCATATTATTTGTATGATGGGGATAATGATGGAGATGAAGATGGTGGAATCAATATCTATATTTACGGTGTGTATGTGTGTAAAAAAGTAAAATTGGGAGATGATGATACGAGGGGGGAGGGGTGTGTGTAGGGACTTGAAGGTCCTGTTAGTGAGTGGGAGGAAGGGAGATGGGAAAATGGATTGGGAGATATGATATAGACGAGTTGGGTTGAGTTGTAGAAGGATGAGATTTTGGAGATCGATTTTGATTTCGATATGTTGTTCTTCTTATGATGATTATTACCATCATCATCATTGCTGTTGTTGTTGCTGTTGTTCCAATTCCGATTTGTATATCCATCTTCCAGCACGGAAGAAGGGCACGGAAGGGAAGGAAGGAAAGGAAAGGAAGGAAAGGGCTGAATCAAGGGCTGATGCCATGTGGAAGGATTTATTTGGGTGGTGTGGAGTACGAGTCCTTAGACAGGCTCAGACAGGTAAATTATATGTGTGGATGTGGATGTGGTGGGGTTTAAATTTCCCTACCGGTAGCTATTCTAGGATATGATGGATGAGATAGAATTGAGTAGACACTGGAAGGGAAGTGAGTATTATCAGTGTTTACGGAGTACAGTTGAATGATTGAATGGATGGATTCCTGCATATTAAATACGAACGAACGTATTGGATACGATGAGATGGGATTTTTCTGTGAGGGAGATTTTGTTCTTTCTTTTGTTCTTTTGTTCTTTTGTTCTTTATTTTTGAAAAGGCTATGAGTGAATTGAGTGAATGAATGAATGAGAAACCGTTGTTTCAGAGATCTCTTTCTGGGTTGTAGAAGATCATACAGATCGACGGGTTGTGAAAATGTAAAAATATGCTAGATAGACCAACTAGATTGAGTGGGTGGTGATTGATTGTATCACGAATGAATGATATATCTCTCGTCTGATATTTGGGGTTGATCAATTGGACTTGACTGTATATCTAACTATGTATATTAATTATACTGGTATAACTTTTGAATGGAGTATCGTTCGTTGTAATCTCATTCCCCTATTGATGATAAAGTCTATTCTCTCATCTCCTCTTATAACTTTGGAGAATATACTGGTACATACGAAGAACTTGATTGAGAATACACAACCTCATTCATTCATAGGTCTTCATACTCGAATATATAAATACCTACGAAGTACTTACCTCATAGATATAGAGTATAAAAACATTTTCACAAGCGTATTACCTCCTCATTTACAAGAAACAAAGAGGAAGACCCTTGAAAATTAACCCCATAATAAATTAAAAAATGGATCTCAATGAAGATTTGTTTGATGAGAATACCGTAATCTGTTTTTTTTTTCTTTTCTTTTTTCTTCTTGTCCTTTGGAGTATGAGAGGGTTCGATTTCTATGCATAGGTAGGTCCACAGGTGGGAAAGTCATGCATAGGTGTATGCAATAGGTACAGAATCAAACAGCTGGATGGTTTCTGAAAATAGATTTTTTTCTTTTCTTTTCTTTTGTTTCTGTTTGAGTAATTGATATCCATTGCCCAGGTGATGATTGTGGCTGTGGCTGATGGATGGGGTTGATGGAGGATGGAAAGAAGATGTAAGATTAGGATGTTGAACATGTATTGAATATGATATAATAATATCAATAATCGTCATAATATCCATCATCATAATAATACATAATACTGTATCAATATTGAAAACTGTGTAAAGTACCAAGATCCTTTGTAAACAATTGAAGCTTGTCGTCTTTCACTAAAAGAGAAGGTACATGTACTAGATACATTAATTGTCATTGCGGTCTCCTTCGTCTTGTAAGTCGTGTTCATAGTTCGTCTTGGATATTGATGGACTTTCTTTGTTCTTCTTCTTTGGCCAACTTGGCTCTTGGTTGAAATTTCCCATGTGGTGGGTTGTGAGATATGGGTAGGAAGGTATCTAGGAAGGTTATTGTACAGAGCACAAGTCCATAGCTAGAAATAACAAGTAGCCAGGTACCTAATCCAGTTAGATCCTCAACAGACTACCATGAAAAGACTCACTTCCAACTTCACCAATTCCAGTCATTTGATATAGTAATCAATCATCACTCCCATCATCCATTTCCTTCAATCCTCACCTCCCTCACCAGGGCTCAAGAACGAATGCATGGCTTGTCTATTTAAGGAAAAAATAGCAGAACCTCTTAAATTCTTAATTACTAGTGTTTTTCACTGTACAGAGTACACTTGCTTTGATCCCTGATTGCAAAGTATTAATCCCGATACCGACCGACCGACTAATAATTAACCTTGCAATTCTTTAACTTCTCTCTCTCTACTTTTAGTCTTCACTCACTCACCACTCACCACTCCACCACTCGCTCACTCTAACTTCTCTCACTAATAATAAATCCTTCAAATGGCCTAACCTCAATTCAATCTTCTCTTTCACCCACCTAAGAAATGATGATATGCTGATATGTTCATATGCTCACATCTTCTATCCAATTATTCCTCTTCAAATTCCAGCTGGTTCTAACCCTCATTACAACTAGTCAATTACTGACTTACTTACTTACTCAATAACCCACGCACTATCAATTGGCACCCGCATCCGCAAAACCCGTAATCTCCTTTTTAAACATCCACTACCCGTACCGTACGTACTACCACCAAACCCTCTCGATTCACATCAACAACAAACGCGACTTAGTCTCGATACCCATCAAACAGCTTCACGAATGCCACACTTCGAAGAGATGCCATCGTTCTTAAATGACGACACAGGAGGCTCTATGTATTCTTCGTCATCCCGACCCCCATTGGATCTCCCCAGCCATCTTCGAAATTCACACGAAAAACTATCCCTCAATGGTGCGAATGGCATAAATGGCATAAATGGTAGAACCTCAACACATAATTCAATAAGGAATGGTTTGGAGAACGGATCGGATGTATATATCGATGGTGGGAGTGCTCCCAATGGTCACTCCAATGGTCACTCCAATACTCACTCCAATACTCACTCAAATGGTAATGGGACGACTGCCAGGCACCAAATGAATGGAGATTCTCATCATGAGCCAACCTTAAACTCCTTACCAAACGGTCGATCCAGCGCAGGTAGTTGGGATTACAGATCTCGTTCTTCGATGAATGGCAGCACATACTCGGTAAATGAACAACCCAATGGTTCATCCCAGAATGGCAGGAGGAGTCCAGGTCCTGCAAATGGCTTTAACAGGTTATCGAATGGTGCTGGAGATAGAAACTCTTTTGCATCAACAAATGGAACTATATCCAACGCTACCGTAGACTCACCACGACCAATCACCACCAGTGATAGTGAACACCAGAATCGAATTTCGAGTCCTCAATCACAACCACATCCTCATAGCACAGGTCCATTAACCTATCAATCACCTTTATTACCTTCGACGCCAGTACCTAATAATTCATTACCTATACCCGAAACGCCAGGTCGTTCTACAGGTACTTCACCACAGCCACCACTACAAGCACAACAACCACAAAGATTTTCCTCACTTTCTTCACCTCCAACGTATCCACCGCCCTCTTCACCTTCACAAAACTCTCTTCAACACCCTGGTTCTACTCAGTTGAAGCATCGACATACGTTGGAAGTTCCTAAAGTTAGTTCGGGTAGGAATTCAAGGGATGGTAATGACGCCGTCTTTACGAGTGGAAGATTCTCTCCAACTTCGGTAGCAACAGCAGGTGCTAGACGTGGATCCTCAAGTATCAACAGACGAAATACACAATCGATACATTCTAATATGCCTCACGAGGAGGTCCCTCCGGATGAGGATGCACTTAGATGGGCAGAAGCTGTACGACAGAAGCGTGCGAGTAAGAGAAGAAAGAAGGATGAGGAAGATGATGATAGGGTGGTTGTTGGAACGAAAGTTGATCAAAACCATGTTAATTGGGTTACGGCATATAATATGTTGACAGGCATTCGTTTTACCGTTTCGAGAACGAACGCGAAGCTTGATAGACCTTTAACTGATGCAGATTTCGAGGCCAAGCACAAATTCTCGTTTGATATGTAAGTTACAATCAACATGTGTGGAATGACTTAGCTAATAATATACACAGTACCGGGAATGAGTTGACCCCATCTGCAAAGTACGATTTCAAATTCAAGGACTATGCACCATGGGTATTCCGAAGTCTTCGGGCAAGGTTCAAGTTGGATCCTGCGGATTATCTCATGTCCTTGACAAGCAAATACATTCTCTCTGAATTAGGATCACCCGGAAAGAGTGGAAGTTTCTTTTACTTCTCGAGAGATTACAAATATATCATCAAAACGATTCATCATTCGGAGCATAAGTTCTTGAGGAAGATTTTGAAGGATTACTATCACCATGTGGAGGATAATCCTAATACACTTCTATCCCAATTTTATGGACTTCATCGAGTGAAGATTCCTTATGGAAGAAAGATTCATTTTGTGGTCATGAACAACCTGTTCCCACCGCACCGTGATGTCCATCAAACCTTCGATTTGAAAGGGTCAACCATTGGTAGAGATTTTAAAGAGGAGAACCTAGAACAAAACCCCCGTGCTACGCTCAAGGACTTGAATTGGCTTCGACGAAACCTTCATCTGGAATTCGGGCCGGAGAAGAGACGAGTCTTCTTCGAACAAATGGAGAAGGATGTAGCATTATTGCAGAAACTGAAGATTATGGATTACAGTATGTTAGTCGGAATACATGATTTGACTAAGGGGAACGAAGAAAATCTACGAGACAAAACTTTACAAGTCTTCCAACCTGGGGGAGATAGTCCTGTAGATGACCCTGGACCACCTGGACCTTTAATGAGAACGCCGAGTAAGCTGGAGAGTGCTAGGAAAGCTAGAGAATTACGCCAGATCATCAAGCAGGAAAAGCCAATTCCCATGGGTCAAAGCAGTTCACGAATGCCGGATGAAATTGAAGAAGAAAACAAGAAAGATTTCACATTCTATAGTGATGACGGCGGATTTCGAGCTACACATGAAGATAATAGTCCTGGAGAGGAAATTTTCTTCTTGTCGATTATTGATTGTCTTACTCATTATGGCACTCTCAAGAAACTCGAACATCTTTTCAGTAAGTAAACTCAATGTTCTATGTGTAATCTAAGCTAACACAAAAACAGAGGGTCTCAAGCATGATAAGAAATTGATTTCTCCAATCAACCCCCAACCTTATGGCGACCGTTTTATCGAATTCATTGAGGGAATCACAAAATCTCAAGAAGAAGCTGCTCGAGAGGAAGAATGTCCTCTCCCACCCGTACCCCACACAGACTCCAACCTTACCATGGGTTCCACGCGTCGACGTTCGAATAGTGCACATATGCACCGTACCGTCACAAACAACACCACGATTCAGCGTGCTGAAAATGAAGCCTTGAGAACTGAGCATGATGGAAGGCGAGAGCATATCGAGTCTAGAACAGTGTCGACAGTTAGAAGCCCAAGTGCGGAAAGGACGAATGGACTACAGGGACAGATACTTCCAGTTGTCGAGGAAATGGGAGAAGCGAGTAGTACGGGAGGAAGAAGTGGAAGGAGTATCAGAAGTACACATGATGATGACGAGAGAAGGCCAGCTACGCCTGCCAAAGATTATCCTCCAAGTTTGAATGACAATCAAGGAAGACCGCAAAGTTTAAGGAGGATGATTAGTAGAAGTAGCTTGGAAAAACAATTACCACCTTTGCCGCCAAATGGAAGAGGGGTGGAAGAGAAAGACTCTGGGATTGGGATTGGGAGATGATTTGTATAGGCAGGGATTGTTTAGGCATGGATAAAAGAGGAGTGAAATAATACATAGCAAGTTGATAAGGAGTAGAGTTGGAGCATAGTCAGTAGGCGCAGCGCTGTAAGTGGAGGATAAGATAAGATACCATGATACCATCTAGCGAATCGCCTTTTTTACTTTACTTTCCTTTTACTTTCTTTCTCTCTGGGAGGTTTTTGTGGGATGGGAAACTTTCATTGAATCTTAATCACTTTTTTTTCTTTTCCTCTGCTTGCTTTGATTTTTGCTGGGACTGCCATTGACTGGCTTGATTGATTTGGAGGGTCATCATCATATTCGTAGTTGAGTTTCTTTTGTGTTTGTTTATTGTGGAGGTTGGTGGAGGGGAAGAGAGGGAAGAGGGGGGGATGGGATGAATGAGGAAGGGGGGAGGGGGGAGGGGAAGAGAGGGAAGAGGGGGGGATGGGATGAATGAGGAAGGGGGGAGGGGGGAGGGGAAGATGAGGTGGGAAGGATAGATGACACAATCTCTACTATTGTTTGTTTCTTTGAGTTTGAGTTGGGGGAAAGGAGGAAGGGGGAGAGGAGAGAAGAGAAGAGATGGGATGTGGGAAGAAAAAGTTTTGTAGATAGGTTTGGTTTGGTTGTTTTTGCTAGTCTTTCTGTTGGATGAAAAGCATGGAAAGTAAGGGGGAGATTGGAGGATGGAGGAATGGATGATGGATCGTTGAGAAAGTGAGTGGATAGGGAATTAAAACAATAGTTGAATGTTGTTGTCGTTATTCATAAGATTGATTGTGGTTGTTGCTGTGGTGTAAATTGTGTAAATTGGATGGATGGATGGATGGATGTATATAGTGGGTTTGGAGGAAAGGGGAAGGAAGGGGAAAGGGAGAAAGCTCGAGGAGGGAGAGTGTAGATAGGATATGATCGGATAGGATATGACAGGGTGTTCAGCAATGAGAAACGTAAAAGAATTATATTTTAATTTTTTGTGTTTTGGGTAGTGCTGTGATGTGATGTGTTGAATTGAAATCATGAGCACAGGCGAACTAAGTAGTTCTTAATGCTTATGCTCTTTCCTTCTTGGTCTGCCGCTTGTTCTCAAAATCAAAATCGTCATGGTGTTTAAAATTGCATAGCTGAGAGGAGCGAGAGAATGGGGGGACTACTTCCCTGAGTTGAAGGGATGGCCGTTCCTGCTTTGTTTCACTTTTGATTTGTTGTGGCTAGAGTTGAAATGGTGGTTTCCTTTTCAATCGGGAGATTCGTTGACCTCTTTACCTACTTTACTTCCTCTTCACTTCAACCATCCTCACCACACTTCATCCTCACAACACTTTGAGTCCCATTTCGTGCTGAGTTGTACTTCAAGTCTCCAACTCGTCTCATATCTCATCAAAGTCGTTTTTCGTCTTTGTTGATTTATATGAACGTGAATGGATCCAAACGCCGGGTCTTTTGAGCTGGGACAACGTCGGATACTGAATGAAGAGGGTGAAGAAAGTCTGTTGTCAGGTCGATTACAGCGGTTGGATTTGGAAAGAGAGACAAGGACGGAACAGGGTGGGCCGGCGCTGCAGTGGGGTCAGTCGCTGCAAGGAGCTCAGCTACAACAAACATATAGAGACGGACATCACAACCAAAATCAAACTCACTTCAATACGGGTTCAACTGAAGCACATAATCTTCGATCATCAAGCGCCGTGGGCGTACCGAGAAGCTCACCAGCACCTGGCAGCTTGCAATCACTGGGAGCCTTGCATACCAATCAAGAACAACGATTATTAAATTCCTCTCAGCCACCGTCATCAAGTCCAGCACAGGCTACCTTTCAAGATAACTATAATCAGAGCCAATTATCCTACCATTGGGCACAGCCAGCACAACCACTGGGATACCACCCCTCTTCTTCATTCCTGGCGAGAAACTTCAACGGCTTGCCACTTACTGTTGGATCTCCGATAGTAGAAGAAAGGCACGAGCCAGTTGAGTATATACATAAAGAAATTCTCGAGCTTGAGGAACAGGTCGAAAAGGTGTACGAAGAATTCTGCCATCACCGCTCAATACGACACAGCGGAAAAGTTAATCTCGATAATCTTAAAGCGTACGTTGCTGTACTTGAACAGACTCTGTTTAACACATGCCAACGAAGTCAACAACTCCAAATCAAGGTCTTGTTCGGCACAGATATTGGAGATCAATTCGAACAGTTGATTGCAACACAATTGACACGCGTGTTCCCACAAATAGAAAAGAGGTATCTGAAGCGTAATTGGGAACAAATACTCGGCGGGAAACGTCCTCTACCCCGCTACCCACCTAGCGGTCCTATATATCTGAACAGGGTACCGCAAATATTCAAGATTCAAATCAAGATTGTGGTCAAGGCCTACACGATCCTCGAAAGTAGTTTGTGCGTCTGCAAAATTACGGAAAAGGAATACGAACACAGCATTGACATAGAATCGGTTCACGAACTACAAGAATACCAATTTGAAGAAGCTTGCACTGAAGTCGAGTACGATTCTACTACTCTTCCCATCCCTAATAGCCTTTTGCCTACTACCAAAGAAGGGGGACGGATTCCGGTTCGGAGCTTCGCTCGTATTGTAGAGAGAATATCGTACTTTTTTTGTTTTGACCCTCCGTTGACTCCAGACGCTGTACCCTTGGAGAACCTAATAGCGAAGGATAAGGATCTGGGTAAGTGGATGGTACTGATTGTCCTGGGCCCTGGAAATGGACATGCTGGGTCGATCTTTATATTGACATACTGATTGACCCTTAGAACAAATTTTCCCTGTGGACAAAGCCGGTACTGTATCAGTTAAGTGGGGTGTCTCGTGGTGAATTAGTTACCACGCACAATATTACTCATTCATTATTCGTTCTTTGATTGATTGACAAAATATTCAAAATGCATATTTGGGCTGGCTCGGGTTCGGCCAGTGGGAAGGAGACTGTTAGACGAAGAGAGAGAACTCCTATAAAGACTGGCACAATCCTCAAGAAGAGAAAGAGTAGTGCTAAAATTGGGTCGGGAATGGATAGTTCGAGTTCCAGTGAGGATATTGGGAAATCAAGTCCTGGTCCGAGTCCTAGAAGAGACTCGGGAGTAGACTCTGTTACAGCGTCTGAAACTGATTCTGATGAGTCGATTGTTACTGTTGTTAGTGTTCCAACTTATGATGTTGAGGAAGATATGGTTTTGCCTTTGAATATTGGGTCGCTCGATGGTGAGGGAGATTTCATTACGATTGGGAAGATTGAAAGTGGTTTGAAGATGTTGCGGGAAGAGAAGATGAACAAGAATCTTCAAAATGAGTTGGAACAATCATCTACCCCGAGTAAGGTTATTTGGAATGGCATTACGCCATTAGATATGGATGATTCAAACGGAGAGGACGAAGATGAAATTTCTCCGTCATTAAGAGGTCTCAGTCGTATTATGGCGAGTAATTATAGGATGTTTCGAACAAGTAGGGGGGAGGAAGATCGAATGAAAGATTCGGATAATAATGTATTTGCCAAGAAGGAATCCGTGGGTTCTAAACATAGCATTCCAACGGGTTTACCAACAACATCAGACGTCGTCGACATGCCTGCCGAAGATACACAAGCTGTTTGGCATGAATATGCGTTTGCTGGAGGCAAAAACGAGCCGGATTCTCATATCGCATCGATTGCTAGCTGTGATAATATCAATAGTTCTGAGAGCGAAAATGAGCTTGAACGACTTTTCAGGGTGGATTCGATGCATACTCCGGAACCTGAAATTTCAGATGGGTATCTGTCTTATGACGTTTCCACTCCTATTAACATTAAAGAATTCGCTTTCGATTCCAGATATGAAAATAAGCCGGCATGTTACTCTGATATGGAGTGCATACAAGATTCTGAAACCGAGAAGGAGGATAAATATCCTGATATAAAGTTTACTCATAAAATCAATATCGATTTGAATCTCGAAGAAGAGAAAGAGCCGGAAAAAATCGGCAAAAGTGCACACGAACTACTCTGGGATGAGATATCGAAATCTGTTGATAAAGCTCTCGATACAACGCAAGAGAATAGACGCAGAGAGAGTATCCGAGGGTTTTCTCTCAAAGTGCCTCATTTGATTCATGAGGCTAAGCAGGGTCTTTATCGCTCGCCTTCTCCTACTCGTTCTAGCAAAAGGAATGAGATAGTTGGGGAGGTGAGTTCGCTGAAAGAGGTAGAGTTTTGTGCGAGTGGACTTAAGGATCGTGGTTTAGGAGAAGGTGGTCTGGTGACAACTAGTGAGGGAGTAGGCGGGGATTACTCGGCTCAAATCCAGGAGAAGGATGATCGTGCGATTAGGATAGAGGGGGTTTCGAGTAATCTTGGAAGTCCGGTCTCATTATCTTTTATGGGAAGGGGGGAAAGAGAACATACTGAGGCTGGGTTCGAAAAAGACGAGGATGATTCGTGTGTAAGCGTTGGTGTGGATGGTGAAAACTGCACATTGTCAGATTCTCCATGTCGACAAGTTAAAATAAGTATTCCTGGGGATGAGAATGATGGGGCCTTTTCAGATTTCAAGGGAACTCGTGAAGACTCAGTTGAACGCGAGAATGAACGCGATATTGCGAATTCCGAGCGCTTTTCGCCTGTGCATCAGAGGGTTATACAGTTAATGACACCGAAGCATGGTCGTTATCACACTGTTAGAGAAAAGGGTGGGAAAACCCCAGCGAGTTACCGGATGTTTGAATCGCAGATAAATGAGAAGAATGCATCGCAGGAACTGGGGAGTATTGCTATGGAGAGAAAAGCTTCGCAATATCCTGCGAAAGAGAGAGCATTCTCACAACCTTGTCGGGCGAATGATATGACTTGGTTTCATCAATCTTCGCCTGCTTCGTTTAGAGTCGATGATTCTAAGGATTCTGACGTCAATGGATCGGAGGAATGGTTCCTGGAAAAAGAAGCATGTAGTGAGATTGAAGAGGAGATGGAAAAATTCTGGAAAGTCAATTCGAAGGGATTGATGGCGCGTTTTGGGAAGATGATGGGGCATATTGATACAGAAAGTGAGATTGGAGAAGGGGAAGAAAATAAACTTCCGGTGAAGATGATAGATTTGGGATCGTCGGAATTCACGAAGGATGAGAATGAGAGGGTTTCGAAGGATAGTTCGCGGGTTAAGTTTCGTGATGGTGAGTTTTCTGATTGTTATGTTTGGGTTGTGCAATGAATGGTGCTGATGAGAATTGTAGCTCCTACCATCATACGACGTTCGATGCCTCAATGGGATGGCCCTAGTTCGCCACCGTTACTAGCGGCGGAGTCTCCGGCTGGAAGTGCTCGCTCCCCATCTCCTCGAAAGAGACTACAAAAGGTTTAATCGGTCGAAATCGCCTACTTTGATGAAGTCGTCTAGTTCTTCGTTGGGGAAGCTTTTTCAGAATTCGAGGGTAGAGGGGATGGAGGGGGAGATTAGAGATTTGAGGAGGGAGGTTGAGGAGTTGAAGAATATGATTGGGAGGTTCGAGAGGGAATTCGAAGGGGTTGTTGATTTTGGGGGAGAGGATTTTAGGAAGATGGGGGGGCGGTTAGGAGATAAAATGAAGGATGTTTGGAGTGCGGTTTATGGGAAAGATTGGGAAGTAGAGAGGATTGGCGAGGGGGGGAGGGGATTGGATAAAAATGGAGGAGATAAAGTGGATGAGAGAAGTTAGGGATTTGGGATTATTGAAGATGGTGGAGAGAATGAAGAAGGAAAGAGATATAGAGAAGATCGTGCGTGCGGTGAATGGATTCTTGAAGGAAAAGCAAATTAAACAATTTGAGAAGGATCTGATGGTACCGAATTCGACAAATCTTGAGCTTGGGGATAAGGGTGCTTCTGCTCCAAAAACTTCGATCGAGCAACTTCTGAGTAGGGAGTCGGCGGTTGGTGGGGGGCTGAGGATAAATGAGTCTGATATTGCGATGCCACAGCAAAAAATTAAAAAGTTGTCCGCGGATGAGATAGGGTTGGAGGGGGAGATTGCGAATTGGAAGAGACAAAGTTGGGATACGAAGGATGAGAAGAGTGAGGAATGTGATTGGGGGGTGGTTGGTGGTATTGGGGCGACGAGAACGTCAGATTCGGATGTGAGGGATTGTCAGGTGGGATCTGATGTATCTTCGGGTTGGATTGCGGATTTATTTGATAGTACGACTCCGTGTTCTTTGCATATAGAAAAGCTTTCAGACTTGCCGAGTCTTGAAAAAAGAGAAGAGATTGAGAGAGAGAGGATAAGGAAAGCGGAAGAGAACGGGAAGAGCGAGATGAGTCTTGGAGGGGTGGCTGAGAAAGAAAAGTGTGGAAAACGAGGTGGTGATAATGAATCGGAGTTGAGAGGACTTGATGAGGGCTTTAATAAGGAGTATAAGGATGATAAGAAGGTGGAGGTGAGATATGTTGATAGTGAGGGGGATTTTATGGATCAGCGAGAGGCTTTTAGATATCTATCGAGCCAGTTGGAGGGCCTGGGATGTGTGAAAAAAAGAGAGAAAGAGAAGCGGAAGGATATTGAGAGATCAATAGAAATTTTGGGAGAGGGACCTGGAGTGATGGGATGTAAACACGGGTGTAAGATTATTGGGGGTCGGAGATTGGATGATATGGAAATGGAGGGATTGATTGAAGCTGAAATCATGGGGGAAAAGGTTACAGAAATGGAGAAGAGTGATATGAATGCATCGGTGAAAGGAAATGAAGAGGCGGAAGAAAAAGAGAGTAGAATGTTTGATCAAGTATTTATTGACCAAACAAGAAGGTGAAAGAATAAAGAGGGAGGAATGGTGGGAGAAGGAACGAGAGGGGGACAAGAAGGAGATTCAGAGACTTGGGGGTGTGGTGGAGGAATTGAGAGAGTTAGTTTTGAGAGGGATGGAGAAGGGGAAAGAGAAGGAGGGGGGAGAGGTTTGTGGTGGTGAGAAGAAGATGTCGGAAGAGGAAAAGCATGAACGAGGAGATAAGGATGAAATACATGATTGTGATAAACCAGGTTGTTGGTGTCAACCGAGTGGAAGTGGAAGTGGAAGCGGGAAAAAGGATGGGAGATATGCTAGGAGGAAGACTGAACGTGCTGCGAGTAATGTGGCGAATATGAGAGCGAGAGATGTTTATGGTGATCGGGATCAAGATGAAGATGGAGATTGGAGTTTTGAAGAAAGGGGAGTGGGAAATGGAAATGGGAATGGAAAGGGCTTTTGGGATTGGGTTGGGGGAGGGATTTTGTGGAGACAGGATTGAGTGATGGGTGGATGGATGGGATGATGGAGAGAAGGGGGGTTTGAGGGGAGAGAGATAGCATGGATTAGTGGTTGGAGTTTTATGGTTGTTTTGGTGCTTTATTGGTATTAGTGTGGATGGAACGGGATATGATAATCAAAGAAGAAATCACTTGTGGGCAGAGTACATGTCTGGTTGTTCAGTATTCGATATGTTTAACATGATGGATGGATGGAGAGAGAATGAATGAAGTGCAGGATGAGATGGGGTTGAATGGTATACGAGACTAAGGGAAAGGGGGGAAGGGGTTTGTTTATTGTTGGTATTGTTATTGCTATTGCGATTGTAATTACAACTGATTAGAAGAGAGTTGAAACGGAAAGAAGAGAACGTTATCGATTAGAGTGGAGTAGATGGATTAGAATAAAATAAATCAGAATACACCTAAGTCAAATAGGACAGAATAATGAACACATGAACGAAAAAAATGATGAAATCATAGATTGAAATGACATTTTTTTGAGTTTTGATTGAGAAGCAGGGCTGACTTGTTGAGTGAAGGGAGCATAGAGAGATATATATAAATGATGGAATAAGCGAGAGGGGTAAGAGGAGGAAGAGCGGAAGGGGATAAGTGGGTGGAATAGCGGGGGATTGAACTAAACGAAACCAATGTCTGTGATGAGGTCATTGGTAAATTTGATGTATGGTATTCATTGGTAGCGAATAGATTTACCATGTTATTCTAGTATGTATACTATACATGCATTGATAGTTGTAACGGTAGTTATTTCTACCCCAAGCAGGAATATATTATGTTACCTTCCTACCTACCGCCTTAAACTCCATTCCCTGCCTTCCTAGCATTTATTTATTCATTCATTTAATGCATGCATGCATGTACGCCTGTGCAAATAAAGCAAACCCTGATGTAGCAAATAATACACAGTTCTCCCATCCTATCCAATCTCAAAGGTATGAATAAGTTTCAAAAAAACTCAAGCAGTTCCTCTCGGCTTTGCTTTCGCCTTTGCCTTTTCCTTCTTCTCGTCCTTGACCTTCTTCTTCTTTGCCTCGTTCTTCTCATCATTCTTACGTTTCAGGTTCGCTCTCTCTTCATCTGTTTTTGGGATTGGTTTGAAGAATCCCTCGAGTCTAGCTTGTTGTGATGATTTTAAATTCTTGGTGAGTTTTTGAGCAGCGCTGCGGACACGATCTTCCGAGAACCCTTTTTCGACAACGAGGAACTTGACGAGTCCTTCAATATCCGGGGCTTCCCATTTGAAATCGCAATCCTCGTGGTCGGCGGGACGAACATCGGGTTTGAAGAATAGCTCGCGGGCGTCTTGGTATGGCCAATCTTCGGGGATGGCATAACGTTCTTTTTTATCGGCGGTGATCCATGCGACTAGGGTTTCGAGATCGCCGTGTTCGCGGATGAGTTTGAGGGCGGTATGGGGACCGATTTTGGGTATAGGGTCGAGGTAATCGCAGCCGAGGAGGATGCAGAGATCTATGAACTTTTGGATTTTGTTAGTATTGCGCCGTAGTTTCGGGCACATGTAAAGGGTTCTTACTTGCTTGCGATCCATATTTAATCCAGTAAGAACTTTCTCCAAACTAACTTCTTGAATAGGCTCTTTGCGCTGTTCACTAAATGTGAGATGTCGAAGAAGAATGGGAGAATCGAAACACAAAGTATCCATATCCTCACTTGCCGCAGCATAAACCTTTCCTGCTCGAGCCAACGCAGCACATTGTGCCTCTGCCTCTGTTGGCGCAATAATATATGGGATACCCATCAACTTTAACAATTTCTGACACTCTGCATTATGTTCTCTCGTAACTCGAACGGTTCTCCTTGAAAACTTCTCAATATCTTCTGCAGTACCAGTTTCCTTTGCTTCTTCAAGTCCTTCTGTTGCAGTTGCTTTGCGCTGGAAACGTTTTGCTAATTCGCCGGACTTGAGTTTCGGTGGCGCACCATCGAATACGTAGACTGGTTTGATACCGTTGTCGACAATACGGAGGGTGCGGTAAAACATGCCCATTAAATGAGAGGTAGTTTCGCCATCTTCGTTTGTGAGCATCTCACCTCCAGAGCGGACGGCGATGAGGAAACTATAGATGGACATGGATCTGACAGATGTTAGTTTCTAAAGGATATGGATATTACTGTAGAAAGTACATACGCATCCTAGAGAAAAGTCAGTTGATGGCGCAAATATACGTATAGAATGAATCGCAGCAAGATACTTACAATGGCAACTTTTCTACCAAATTGATTTTTGATTTCTCCTTCCTTAACTGCATCAGGAGCTTCATCCTTGATGATGGACATCAATTGTTTGATACCCATGATTGCAGTGGTGTTGTATCAAAACCTTGAGGTTGAAGTCTGGCTGGAATTACAAAAGGTTAAGAAAGAGAGAAGACTTTTGATTTTGGATAGAATTTGGAGTTGACGCGAATGAAGAGCATGACGCGCGATCTTCTCGCGTTAAGTGGCTCAAGCCTTGGTACTTAGGCAACCGCAGCCGCTATAATTTCAGGCATCCGATCGGTTTGCGGGGGAAACTATGAGACTACTGCAAAGTAGGTATTCATATCTACTGTGTAGGGCCTTTACTACAAAGTCAACTAATGATATGTGATCACCAGTGGATGTAAAGATTTCCAAGGTTGTCAACCCATTTAGCTTATACTTTACAACTCTGTGGCTGATTTTCTCCATCTCCATCTTCATACGAAATTATGGATTTACCGCATGCATGGTTGAATCCTTACATGCCTACCTATCTGCTCGAGTACTTACAATGCAATATGTACACACGGATCGACAACCGTTTGTATCCGAACATGCCTCGGAGCTCCAAATTCCATTAAATGGTGACCCGGATTAGTTTATAACTTTAGTACATCTGGGGAAGTGTATATACCCAGCACATTTCCTTTATCATCAAGTGACAACACAATTTACTTGTCGCTTCCAAAGATGTATAGACCTGTATTACGAAGCGCCAGCAGGCAATTGGCAAATGCGAGATCGATAGCCATCACTACTAGAGGTCTTGCTGCTCATGCTACCCCGCAACCATTTAATTGGAAAGATCCTTTAAACGCACAAAATCTTTTTACAGAGGAAGAAATAGCTATTTCAGAAACTGCGGAGCAATATTGTCAGGAGCGGATGAAACCTCTAGTTTTGCGTAAGTTTATCAATTGTATGTTGGGAACGCAAGCTAAAGGAGGGGTTGATTAGAGGCATATCGAGACGAACATTATGACCGAAAGATACTCGAAGAAATGGGAGAAATGGGGCTATTAGGAGCTACGATTAATGGTTACGACTGCGCTGGCGTATCAAATGTCGCTTCGGGACTTATTACGAAGGCAGTTGAACGAGTAGACAGTGGATATCGATCTGGAATGTCAGTACAGTCTTCGCTGGTAATGGGAGGTATTGACGAATTCGGTACACAAGAACAAAAGGAGAAATACTTGCCAAAATTGGCAAAGGGGAAATTGTTGGGCTGTTTTGGTTTGACAGAGCCAAATCATGGTAGTGATCCGGGGTCTATGGAGACAACTGCGAAACCTCATCCAACAAAGAAGGGCTATTACTCAATATCAGGAGCTAAGACATGGATCACGAATTCCCCAATCGCAGATGTATTCTTGGTATGGGCCAAGTTACAAGAGACTGGCAAGATTAGAGGTTTCATCATCGATCGAGCAGATTGTCCACCGGGGACGTTGGAAACACCTGCTTTGAAAGATAAAAATGGACTTCGAGCTTCATTAACTGGTATGATTCAACTCGATGAATGTCCAGTACCTGAAGCGAATATGTTCCAAACGGTCGAGGGTCTTCGAGGACCATTTACCTGCTTGAATAGTGCAAGATACGGTATTGCTTGGGGTATGACAGGTGCGCTCGAAGATTGTATTGATCGAGCTAGAACATATGCGCTGGAACGAAAACAATTCAAAGGCAATCCATTAGCCAAATATCAACTCGTACAGAAGAAGCTAGCAGATGCCGTCTCAGACGCGGCTTTTGGTACACTGGCTTGTGTTCAGGTTGGAAGACTCAAAGACAAGGGAGAAGCAGCACCGGAGATGATCAGTATGATTAAGAGACAGAATTGCGATGCTGCACTTCGAAATGCGAGAACTTTACAGGAGATCTTTGGTGGTAATGCCGCGAGTGATGAGTATGGTATTGGAAGACATGTTTCGAATTTGTTTGTCACTCAAACTTATGAAGGACAAAGTGATATTCACTGTAAGTTTTGCCTCGATCTTTCCTTGTTAGCTGATGATGTGATTTGAATTAATGCTGACAAATGCATTAGGTTTAATTCTGGGAAGAGCAATTACTGGTATTCAAGCATTTTGTTGATTGAACTGGGTTGAGATGGGTTGATGGGTTGCGTTGAACGAGGAAGCAAATCGAAAATGAGAAATGGATGTATGAGATATTGAATCATTGAATGGCCATATAGAAGTGGGGGTGGAATGACCACCAAGGTGTCGGTTCTTGAAAAGGAGGCTTTTTTTTTAATAAAAAAAGGGGTGAATAGGAGAAAAGATGTGTAGGAATTATTACAACTACAGGATTCCCTAATCGAACAAAGAAATGAAAACCAGATATTCAATATCAACAATGTCTTGAGCTTTGGCGGAATGAATCTCGTATATCTATCTTACTCATCATATCTTGTTCAACATAAAAAATGTAAGAATATGAATAACTTGGTTGAATATATTTGACTTCTCTCGAGTAGAAAAGGCTTTGAAATTTGCCACCATTCGGATATTTTCGGGGACAGTGGAAGAGAAAAAAAGAGAATTTATGTTTATTGAATAGATGGTAGGTATCTGAATGGATTAGAAATGCTTGTTGTGTTTCGTGAATGGATTTTGAAGAGACATTACCTACTCAGGTAAATGTCGTTGATGGCCTCTTCCATCCGCATGTGAATTGTCATAGCTGTCATAGCCACCATCCATTAGTTGACAAGAAATTAGTAAGCTTCAAGTAAGTTCGAAGTGAATCCTTTGATTTCCATGGTATGATGTGTGATTTGTTAATAAAAGAAGAGAAGTGAATAAATTTGTAGCTGAATAATTGCATGAGAGCATATCATAGGTCGGAGTCATCTTGAATACTGCGCTTCCATACAAAATCGAACCAAATAGGCCAAGGCACAAGGCAAACCAAAAGCAAAGGCAAAACGACGGCTGGCTGCCCAAGAACATTCACCGTACAGTGTTTATCCCACACAGACCCAGACTCATCAGACTTGCGACTTCTTCTTGATAAATAGATTAATAACTTACCTACTTGATTTTACCACTTGAATTCAAGAAAAAGATAATCCACCTTTAAAGAACTCTTCTTCGTCTTCGTCTTCTTCTTCCCCTTCCCCTTCCTCTTCCTCTTCCTGATCATTCCCCAAAGTACCTACCTAGTCTTCAAAAGAATACTCTCTACTGTCTTCTCCCTCTCAACTCAAGGACAACATAAAGTCAATAACCTTTTGGTACGTACTCTAAGATCTTACTTGTTGTTCCATGGAAAATCTCCAGTGCTCTTTCTTCCTCCATGTATTTGTCTAGTCTGTAATATCTATCCGACTCTCCAAAATACATTGATATAAAGATTTACCGCTTCTCTCTTCTGTACCATCGTGTACCCACAATCTCTATCCCCTTCCGTCATCTTCGGCATAGCCGCTCGCGTGTTTTTTTTTATGGGTGGTCGCTAACAACAAAATCGTGTCTACCAGAAATCCCAGCCCACTTACTCACCAGTCCATTAAACTACTGCAACCTCGAGAAATTCATCAACATACTCGACAACCCTTCACACTACACAACACCCTCCACACCATATTACATACTTCAAAATGGCTTTGAAGAGAATCAACAAGGAACTCACAGACTTGGGCCGGTATGTTATATCTCTTTTCATTATTGTCACCGCCACGACGTTTGAAAGATCTTGGTGGGGCTACTTCGTGAGCGGGGTCTGGTGCAGGATTATCCAAAACTTCATGACGGCGACGATATTTCATATGGATGGTATTGGGAATAGTATGCTAACATGATGTTTTAATAGTGACCCTCCCTCATCATGCTCTGCTGGTCCTATAGGAGACGATTTGGTATGTTGTTCCTCCTCCAAGATTTGATGCCCCTTCGAGGCACAGAATACCTTGGAATGCGCTCAAGATAGACATCATATCATGACGAGTAAGATATATCGAAGAAAGGATACTAACATTGTTTGTTTCATTTAGTTCCACTGGCAAGCTACTATCATGGGTCCTGTAAGTTTGATCTTATCTGCAAGTCTCTTTGATCCGAGGCCCTTCTGCCAACGATCTTAGAAATCTCGAATATCAAGAGTTATCATGATCATCTATCAATTCCTAACATCTATTCTAGTCTGACTCACCATATACCGGAGGTGTCTTCTTCCTCGCCATCCATTTCCCTACCGACTACCCATTCAAGCCTCCCAAGGTCAGCTTCACAACCAGAATCTATCACCCAAACATCAACTCCAACGGAAGCATCTGTTTAGACATCTTGAGAGATCAATGGTCCCCAGCTTTGACTATCTCTAAAGGTATAATTTCCCCTTGATTACCCTATGATAAAAACATCAACTAATCTTTTGTTTTAGTCCTTTTGTCTATCTGCTCCATGCTCACCGACCCCAACCCCGATGACCCACTTGTTCCAGAGATCGCACACGTTTACAAGACCGACCGATCTAGATATGAGGCCACAGCCAGAGAATGGACCCGAAAATACGCCATCTAAATTACCTACTATAACCTTCAAATTACATATGACAAAGCATGACGGATCGGAATAATGGATGGGTTGATGAATTTCCTCTGTGTTCTCTCTATCTCTTCTATTCTATTCTATCCTATTGCGTAAAGGATTTGCTGGCGTCAACGAAACTCGATGAATGGACAACTTTTTGGTCTGGGTTTACTTAGGTACTTTACTCTTTTACACACGAAATACATTACATGGCAGACTTGTAAGCGCTACTGCTGGGGGGGGGGGGATACTTTGCGATGGATTGGGGGCAGAAATTGTGGGAGAGGTGAGAAAGATTTGTCGTGGATAGATATCGGGAGAATGCAATATGATGGATGAATGGATGGGTGGTGATGGATGATAAATAAGGGATGTGCTTGGGGAATTAGATGATCATGTTGCATGATGAACGGATTGTCGTCGTCGCCACCGCCTTTTTCTTACTATTCCTCCTATTCTTTGATATTCAGGTCCATAGCATTACTCGGAGCTTTTCTTACTTTGTGATGATCTGCTGTTTTTTTCTTCCTGGTTTCGTGATGCAACATTTTGGCAGAGGGTAGTTGTGAATGAGTGAAGATGTGAAATTTGAGACTTATTAGGTGTGAAATGTGATATTGGTGAAAGAAGGGGGAATTTGATGGATATTTAGTATTATCCATCTGCCCTTCCGCAACATAATACTGGGTATGCAAGGTAATTGAATGATCCGTCTGTCTATGGCATTTATGGTAAGGATAATCTAGTGCAATTTCATTCTTTCATTCTTTCATCGTTTCACTTCGGGATTTATTTATCATGTCATTTGGTTTGTTCCTATGGTTGTTTTTGGTCGAATTTCTTGTTATGGAAACGGGCTTTAGTATGTGTATGTTTTCTGTTTGGTTTGGTTTGGGTGTGAGGGTAAGGGATTTTTATTGTAGTTGGGTTACATGGGGTGCGATCTGGATTTGAATTCGGGTAGGAAGGAGGATTAGGGTTGGGGTGATGAGTGGTGCTGGAGAGTTGGTGGGAGGGGGGTGAGAGGGGAGAGTGAGAGGGGAGACAGAGGGGAGACTGAGAGGGGTCATGGGCATGTTGATGAGCATGTTGATCTTTGTGCTTGGATCGATACGTAGTTATGGATTCGGGGGGTGGTGAGTTCCAAAATGGTGAGATGCTGAGTGGGTCTGATTGATTGATGTGAGAATGTTTGATGTTTCGTGTTTGAGGTTTGAGATTGGGGTTTGATGGTGTGGGAATTTGGGAATGTTTCGGAGGTGGATGGGAGGGGTGAGGGATGAGGAAGGAGAGAGGAGGGATGAGGAAGGAAAGGTAGTGTGTTTAAGGTTTGAGGTTTGTGGGGAAGAAGGGAGGAAGAGAGGGAGGGAGTGGTGGGGGTGAGGGCATGTAATTTGACTATGTATATTAGGATTCGGGACCGAGGGGGAGGGGTTGTAGTATGCTGGGTGAGTGTGAAGGTGATTGATGAGGGTAAATGATTAGTGATGCGGTTTTGTAAGGTTTGTAGGGGGGAGGGAAAGGATGCGGATGCGAGAGAAGGATGGAGGGAGTGTAGGAGAAAGAATGTCATTGGGACACGCATAGGTACTAGGTAGCAAAAATATATCTTGAAACTCATGTATGACTTCTCTTATTTTTATCCTGCGAGTAATGTATCCTAATATTATATGTATTTATCTATGAGTCGGCGCTTTCTATTGTAGATAGTACATATCGACAATCATCAAAATTCAGTCACATGTAATCATATGTGCACAAAGTCAACATCAATTGCATATACCTGTTAGTGGCTAGCTAGCGTAACCTAAGCTCGGTACTGAATACCGGGTACTGTATATGTATGTGTAGGTATATGGGGTTCTTTGTTTCATCAATATCAAATGGGATTCTTACTGAGTCTTCGCGTTTGGATTCTTGGGGTTTGGGAAGTGATGAGTGTGAGTGTGAGTTTGAGATGGTGATGGTGATGGTGATGGTGATGTGGACTGATTTTGACGTGCGTGGAGATGTGTGTGAAGCGGACGGATGTAGCAGAAGGTTTATTGAGATGTTTGGGATTGGAGGGGTATGTATGGTAAGGTAGAGCTGGATTTGTAGTTGAAGTTGTAATTGGAGTTGTTGGTGTTCTTTGTGTTGCGTAAATAGGGGGATTGACGGGAAGGATGGAAGATGAGGGGGTGATTCTCGGTTCTAACTGCTGAGTTGTATGTATCTACCTATCTATAGATCATATAGAGGCCTAGTTGGGTGATTCCTGAGGATATTTTCACTGCAGCTGATCATTGAAGATACCTATTAATCGATATATACAAGGGATTTTTCTTAGGGCTAAGGAATGGCGTAATGGGAATGGAAAGTATGGACTGATGAGAGAAAAATAGTGTAGCAAGACTTGAGAGATCATACAATTGGTGTTGGGATATCGTATGCTGATATAGGTAGTTGTATCCGATTACTTAGTATTATCATCATGCGCGCCGTTGCCAATGTTGAAAATGGTTTATCCTCAGGGCGTAAATAAGCTTTTGAGGAGACTCGAACGGTACCTCTTCATCT